CCTGAAACACCTCTAGCAGGTCCTTGGAAGAGAGCTGGCTCCTGTGGCTCAGGGCAGAATCACAGGATCACAGAATCGTAGGGATTGGAAAGGACCTCCAGAGATCATCGAGTCCAACCCCTTGCCAAAGCAGGTTCCCTACAGCAGGTCGCACAAGTAGGTGCCCAGGCAGGTCTTGAACATCTCCAGAGGAGACTCCACAACCTCCCTGGGCAGCCTGTTCCAGTGCTCCGTCACCCTCACCATAAAGTTCCAGGCAGCTGCCACAGATATTCACACAGGAACTAGAGTCATATAGGGAATTACACTCTAAACGCTCTCTTAAGTAAAATAAGTTATCACTTTGGTGCTCTTGAAGCATGGTAGAAATGTCTTTAGCTTTAGATACCTCAGGGACATGACTTGGTTGTGGGACTTAGTACAGAGCTCATGCCTTGTAGCAACAAATCTGTATGCAAGAACAACAAAAAACAAACAAACAAACAAACAAAACCATTAAAAACTGCACTGGAATTTATACTAAAATATACTTCTCTCAAAGTAGAAATATCAGCTGTATTCTAGGTAAGATTTAGATGATAGCTTCAGGAAAATTTTAATAGAACTTATAGAATTTAAAAGAGTTACTTTGGTCAGCAAAGAGAAGAGTGAAATTGAATTAAAATGTTTAGAAATTATTCTTTAACCAAAAAGATCCCAGAAGCAATATTCAGTCTCCACTGAAGTTAATGTCTGAATGGCTTTTAACTTCATGGAGCTCTGACTTCAACTCAGGTACCTTGTCACTAGAAATATGGCAAGTTACTTTTCCCTTATGGTCAATTAACTATACATTTTAATTGATGTTATACCAAATACATAAGTATCTCTTTTATAAGCTTCCCTTTTACAGCTTTTGCAGTCCATGTTTTCTCTAATTAAAAGCTTTCTTAGGTTTGACTTGACAGCCTACTGAACAGATACAGTGTGATTGCATGTACATCAAGTAGGGTCCCCAGATCATCATTACTTGACAGTGTCTATAGCTAGAGATGCACTTTCTTTTTATCTTTCTGTATTTAAATCTTAACCATAGTTGATATGATAAAAACTTCAGTGAAGGAAATAAGATTATGGTTTTATTTTCTTTTTTAATAAATTGATTGCTAATCCATTTTTGAGAAGGATTTTTTTTTTTTCCCCTTGGAAGGTGCTCTGAATGTATTTTTCCTTTTTTCCCCCTTTCCCTTCATTACTTCATGATTGTTGAAAATTGGAACAGCCTCAGAAATAAAATTAATATGTTAAATTAAACCCTCTCTTTAACCATTGAATAAAATAAATGGTAAATTTGTCTTCTTTGATGTTTAGAGCTAGACAGACAGAATAAGCTGAGTTTATATGCATGCATATTCAGCTGTCTCCATTTCTCTTTCATATCACATTAATACCTAGAAATGGGAATTGTTTTTATTTCAAATTAGCAGGTGCTTCCTCCCCTATTGCAGGTCCCATCAGTCTGGTCTTTTCTGCCTTCCAACATAAGGGGTTACTTCAGGGGTGGTTAGTTGGCCCAAAAGCATGCAAACAATCTTTATGACTTTATGCTCGTTGTTCCAGGTTGTGCGCTCTGCTTCCATCTGATGTATGATTTAAAAACCCATGGGTAGAAAGGCCAGGAGTTTAGCAGTTCAGTGCCAGTTCCAAAGGGACTGTATTTGTGAAAGTAAACATCTGGTGCAGGCAGAATCTGCCAAAGACACCTGCACCTCCCCTGTGTGTGCTGCTCTGAGTCTTTACAAGTGGTGGAAAACAGGAGGGGTAGCTAAAGTAATCTAATCTCCATCAATACCAAAGGCTAGGCAGAAGCTCTGAGCTTGAGAGCAGCCCTGTGCCAGGGGGGCCTTTATAGAGATTCAGTTATTTTGGAAATGAGTGGAGAACTCACTAACTGGTCCCAAAATGAGACCATGCAAAAATGTATGTGTTTGCTTGATCACTATACAGAAATGCACACTGCTAATGTTTAGTCCTTGTCATCCCTGGCACCAAGGCAGCTATTCAGACCCTGTCCCTCTCTCCCCTTACAGATGGATTCCCTACATAAGATCAAGCAGGCCAAAATAAACAGCCAGAACTAATTCAGATCATACTTGAGCAAATTAATCTGATTACCCAACTACCAGGATATATGAACTAGAAGGGATGTTTCCTCAGAAGGGCAGGCTGGGACCTCTGAATCCTAGAAAAAGTTCCCAAGATGAATTTTCTTGACCATTGTACTTGAATGATGAAGTCAGAGAAGTCAGACTGAGCTGGAGCCTCGTGTTGTAGGAATGTTATGTTCAAGTGCTGCCCCTTCTTAAAACTTTTCCTGATGAATTTGAGATTCACGTGCCCCAGTCCCAACAATGTAAGTGGAATGAACAACAGAGGAATTCCTCGCTGTTTATGAAATGAGAGAAAAGATGTCTTTTCTCCTGTTATGGCAGAATTAATAATAAACCAGAAAAGAAAAGGCAAGAGGGCCTTGTGCTGCGTGTTTATTGAATACCATGTCTTGTTATTGCATCATTAAATATTAATATATGTATAATTAACTATTATGTGAAATGTTTGATGTTTTTAAATATGAGAACAGGGAATGTGCAGCATAAAACAGTGCCCTATGGTGTGCAAGCTGCTGTGAGCAGGTAGGTATCCTAGAGAGGTGACTTTGGAGTTTGAGATCAAATGTTGCCCAGATACATGGAGGCAATCAGTAAGAACAGAATGCAGACCAAGAAAAAAAAAAAAAGAAAGAAAGAAAGGAAAAGAAAAAAAAGCTTGTGCATTTGCCTTCCTAGAGAATATAATTAATTAAAATATCTGGGCCTGTGTGGCTTCTGCCCTCAGAGCATTTAAATCGAGCAGCTTTTGAAGCTGGAAGATGCAGAGGGCAGGTCACCAATGCACGTGCCAAGCTGTAATCCCAATTACAGGTTCCAATTATCTCTTTTGGTTGACACTGCAAAGGTAATGATTATGGCAGCTTTGGAGGAGACCAGGCTCAGCAGAGACTATCAGGCCGTGACTAGAGATTTAGGTGTCTCTTGCAATGACAGAGACTTTGCTTTAATATCCCCATGACTCTATGCTGCACGCATGGGGAAGGAGGATGACATGTAACCCTGCATGTCCACAGCCTGTAACTCCTGTAACAGAGGCCACCACAGCAGCAAGCAGGATGGGGGGAAAAGGAGTTCAGCAAACTACCCAGTGGCATGGCTGTTCAGAGCTTGCAGTACTGGTGGTAGGAGGACATACTGCTGTCTGCCAGAAAATGCCAAATTTGCTGCTGACACTGGACTGCACCTCAGATGGATGACAGCTACTTTCTGCAGCTAGTACACTCCTAGTCTTGAGTAGCCTTGGTCTGTGTCTGTTCAGTGCTGCAGTCAATGCTGGATAGAGCAGGTATATAGATGACAATGTGAGTTGCACAGAATAGCTGTTCCTTGCCTTTGTAGCATGATTGATGCTTTTATCCAACTGTGCATGGTAAACCACCCAGCTCATGTACAAAATATCCTGTAGATTTTGTAGGGTATGTCATTGTGTGAGCATATAGAGGTACAGAGAGGCACTTTATGAGGATATCTAACCAAACCTAATAGGAAGTATTCCACTCACCTGCCTGTCAACCAAGAGCCTGGGAGCATTCCTGCATATCACAGGGATCTAGATCTGTGACATGAGGAGTACTCTCCCTTCAAATATGTTAAGCATTTTCTAATTGTATGAAGTGTAATTTATGTTCATGAGATAATGAGTTAAGATTCTGAGATCCCTTTGTTTTGCTTTTTATCTACAAGGTAACTTAAGTTGAGTAGCTAGCAAATTATTCATTGCTACTGACACAAGTGAAGCATCAAAACAACAAGAAATTCAAGTTTTCCTCCACTCCTATTTAAGAGTTTCAGATCAGATTTTTCTGTCCTATTTCTGTGCATCAGTTCTTAATGTGCAGCAGCAGGGTATGTGTTTTCGTTGTGGTATGTTCATTACTGAGGTGCTGGGAGTGCTTGGCTTCTCAGCAGATCCACAACACTTGCAGGCGATGACAGCATCTCACCAAGATCTCAGGCTTTATCACCTAAAATAGTCACAAAGCATTCCTCATGGATGCTTTTGGCTGCAAACCATATTGGCATTGTGTAATACAGAGAAAGGAGAAGAAAATTTTAATGCTTCCATTGCAGATTTAGAAAAATAGTGATTGACTGAAAAATGTCTGTCTAAGATCAAGAGCTGGCAATCTGAGAGCTTGATACCCTTCAACATCTGAACATTGTTAAAGATACTTGCTTCAAAATCTTCACTTTGATGAGTGTGAACTCGGCTTACCTCCCTAACTCCTTTTTCTTTTAGTCTCATCTCAGCCACAACTGTTTTTCTCACTGCTTTCCCACAATTATTACTCTATATGTGAAAATCATTTTTTATTATTTTTAATCAGTTTTTTTCTTTATTACTGATTGTTTAAGGGTATTGTTGAAGGCTTATGGTAGTTCATATTAATAATTTCCAGAGAATGTTATCTAGAGATATCTAATAAAGACTGCTAGCATCAGCACCATACAAAATGTTAAGTTGCAGAAGGTTAGCCTGGCAAGCTCTGAGACTGGTTCATTTGGTGTAATCTTAAGTGAGATAGAGCTGTTGATTTTATACAGTTTTGACCCTCATATTGTCAAAACACGATCACTTCCCCCTCGTTTGTAACACTGCGGTGCTTTTGGTTCAGGCTGTTCTCTACAGAGGAGGATGCAGTGCCCTCCTGAATAGCTCACCCTTTGCAGATGCAAGACAGGCAGAATAAGGGGCTATCAGAGCATTGCATGGATTGCCAATGGTTATATCACAAACACTTAAGAGATTGAAAGCAGGACCCAGCTCACCTGAAGCTCATTGCAGTATTGTATCCAGCAGACCATGATGCCTCTTAATGTGTTGCTTTTCTTGTTGTTCTTTTCTTATAGTTCGGGATCGGGTACGGTCAAAAATGGAGAGAGATATTTTGGCAGAAGTGAATCATCCTTTCATAGTCAAGCTTCATTATGGTAACTACAATAAAGTATACTTCATGTTTGTTCTTAAATATGTTGGAGAATTGTAACTAGATGTGTTATAATTTCATATAGGTATCGACTGCCTATATATGACAGTCTGTAAAATCATAGAATTTTAGCATAAGTAGCTCTTAGCCATTTATCCAGCAAAATACACTTGACATAAAATATAGTGTGATGTATCATGCTAGTGGAGTTGCTGATGAGTTAGTTACATCTGCAAACCCTCTCACCTGCTGTCTGGTATCATCTACGAATACAGAGGAACTATTCTTAATAATCAGCATGTTAGTGACTGTGAATTCATGGTCTTGCTGGAGCTGCACTCCTCAGCCTTAGGAGCTCCCTAGGCCCATTATTACCCACTGTAAAGAGCCCGCTGTGAATAGTCCAGGTTCTACCTTGCTCAGGTCTGGGAACTCCTCCCTGTGCCCAGCACTCCAAATACTTCTGGTATTTGCACAGTGGAAAGCAATATGAATTCATAGGTGTTTAGAATGAAATTGAATATTTTAGTAATATATCACTGTCTCTCAGCTGATACTGTTTTTCCCCATTGTCTAAGATAGATTGCTTATTGCTGTAGAGAAGTTAATTCTTCTGTTCACTAAGTGAAAAATGAAGGTAGAGCTAAAATCACAAATGATATACCATCAGTCAACAGTATTTATTCTTTGGAGACTTTATCTTGATTCAAATTTCCAATGTCTCAATCTTTTTCTAATGCAGCATTTCAAACAGAGGGGAAGTTGTATCTAATACTAGATTTTCTGCGGGGAGGGGACCTTTTCACAAGACTCTCCAAAGAGGTAAGCTGAAAGACTTAAACTTTGGAAAAGAAAGACTATCCTGGATTTTCAGAAACAAATGAAGCTGGTGGGAATGGTAAAGGGCTTTGAAAATAGTACATATATATACATATGGGCTATATATATATATATAAAAGCGATATAGATAGGTAGGTAGGTAGGTAGATAGATAGATAGATAGATAGATAGATAGATAGATAGATAGGGGCTATATGTGTAGTAGAGCTGCATCATCCTGCATCTCTAAGTGGGTTCTTATTAATTATATTTGAATAATGCCACAGATAATTAAGCAGTTAGGCAGTAAGCATCACTATCACAGAAAACTAGCAGCCATTATCACAACAAAATACCTCCAGACTCATTGCTAACCAAATATAACTTGGCTGTGATGAGAGGCAATCTGAGAAGCCTATCTCCAATACACTTTGCCTGGGATGTGAGTACAGAGCTGCTTTAAAAGCATAACTGCTGCCAGCAAGAAGAGATGCTGTCAGTCAGGGTCTGACCCCTGCAGAAGGTGTGCAGAGGATTAGGGCATCAGTCACCAGCAGGACAATGCCACCTGCTGTAGTTGCTGCTGGGAGTAGGGTGGAGGTCATTCCCTGCCTCAGGCTTGCAGTTTGATTGTCACCTGCCTATCCTGCTTTCCTCACCTCTCTGACCTCAATCAGTCCTCTGCCCTCTGCTCCTGCCTGTGGAGAGATGCTGCTGCTGAAGAGTAGTATAGTTAGAAAACCAAACCTATGTCTCACTAACGCCAGCAGAGAGGTAGCTGCAAGATATCTATGTTCATTTCGTGCTTGCCTGTTTCTCCTAGTGCTTCTTGGAGCCACCTGTCTATGAGTCCTGCAGGCAGAAGTAGTGCTTTGGTGAGGCAGCCCTGCCACTTCTGGGGAGAAGCCAGGGAGCTTTAGGGGTCCCAAGAGTTGTCTGTATTCCAGGGCTTGATGTTACTAGCTTAGTGTCCTCAGCTCTTGGTCTCTGTCCAGACTGTGGGGATGAGGCATCTGTATTCACTTGACAAAGGATATTTGAAGATAAGATGAAGGGGGGGAGTTTTTCTTTGTTCTGGAGGGTTTATGGATAGACTGTGAGAATAGAACTTTCATGCAGAAGTTCCCTAGCTGCATTTTCCACCCCACAAACCTAGTCTGGGTGGCAGTGGCAGCTGGTGAAATGCTATGGAATGGGCTGACAGGCAGACTGCTGAGTCCACCATGGGCTGCAAGCCCAAGTGTTCTCTTTCCAGACCTGTCTGCTAATGTAGGGAGACATCAGCAGTGGGTTTATGGCAGTGCCAAGTAATAGTACCTGTAGATGTATTTACTATATGGAATCAGTTATTTTAAACAGAATGAAAAAGATTCAAGAACATAAAAATATCTTCCTGCTGCTCGTTACAAAGTACAGCTGTTTTACACTGCACTGTCTTTAAAGAATCTCTCTGATTTCCTAGAAGAGAGAAAAAGTGGTTCTTGACACATTCTGCACAGTGAAGGAGCGTGGAAGTATGACTCAGATTTTGTACTCATTTGACACTTTTGGTTTTCCCAAAGCTTTCACAATTCAGTGCACTGAATTCTCTGCTTTATGCTATCAATAATGAGATCTGTTAGCTTGGCAGTGCTAGTACATCTCTTTTCTATGTTTGCAGCTCATATTGTCTACCTATACTTTGCAGCTGTTTATCATAGAATCATAGCATCGTTTGAGTTGGAAAGGACTTTTAAAGGCCATCTACTACTGCTCCACTGCAACGAAAACAGGGACACCTGCACCTAGACCAGATTGCTCAGAGCCTGGTCCAGCCTGGCCTTGAGTATCTCTAAGGATGGGTCTTTCACCATATCTCTGAGCAAAAAATTGTAAATCTGTATTGAGATGACTCATTTTACTTCTGTCATATGTAGTATTTGCATTTGCATATGCAATGCACCAGCTTCTCATTCTGCATTATTATTGCTGTGCATATTGAATTTTAATTAGAAAGAAGTAAATATCATCTGGGATACAATAAAAGTTGAACCATTCTAGAAACAAAAGGTTTTCTTGGCATCTGAGCTTAGTGATTTGTTTTGTTTGCAGAAGTTTCTTCCCACCTAATCCAAAGCTTTCCAATGTTGGTAGTAGCTACTGAAAGACAGCTGCCATCAGCCCTGTGTGTTGGCCAACATGTCATTGCTCAGGGTATCTGCACCAGGATTGCTAAGGTTCAGCCTGAGGTCATATTCCCTGATCATTTGCACTGGATCTGTCCCTGGCTCTAGCTCAGGAGGAAGCTGTTTCTTCTCCAACAGCCAAAGCATAGGTACTGTTTGTAGATGCTCCTTTGCACTGGAGACACTTTTTCTAGATGACATGTGTAAGGATATGTCAGGTTTCTTTCTTTCACTCCCTTCAATAATATCCCAAACCATACAAGCTTGAGTAGTACCATGCTGAAAACCTCTGGCACACTGTGTCAGATATTTCCACCTGGAAAGCCATAATCAGAATTCTATGCTTCAGGAAGTTAGTAGTGCTCTGCTGAGGGTGGAGGAGCCCATTTCCCTCCTGTGCAGAAGCTGGGGAATCTTTCCCTGTGAGAGTCTGGTGGTCCCTAGAGATTCCTTGGAGCTTTGATGCATGGGGGTTTAAATCTAACTCAGAGTGTTTTCATGCTGTGTATTCTGCTCGTATTTGGGAAAAATATATGTTTCAGTTTCTAAAACAAGAGTTACACTCCTTCAGAGGGGTTCCTCATATTACTCTCTATGAGAATTCAGGAATCAAATGCCAAGATTTTAGCAAATTGAGAGGTATGAAAACAATAAAGGCTGTTGAATGTTGAATTTTGCTACTGACTTCCAAAGGGTAAGGAGTTAGAACCTTATTTATATTACTGTGACATGATGTCATCTAAACAGATCAAACAGATGAATGAGAGCAGCGTGTTTTAAGGAACAGGAGTACTCAGCAGATCAAGTTTTGTTTTATAAGGAGAATCTGGTAAGAACTGTTAATGTGAGCTCAGACAAATTATGGAAAATTGAACCTGATATGATGGGCCTTCCAGCATTCCTGAGTTAGACAATTCCTTCCCTGTGTCTGCTTAATGCAAGCCAGCCCACCACTGTCTAGTAAATAGACATGTTCTTCTTTTCCTTCTCTCTAGGTGATGTTTACAGAAGAGGATGTCAAGTTCTACTTAGCTGAGCTGGCCTTGGCTTTAGACCACCTCCATGGGCTTGGAATTATTTACAGGGATCTAAAACCAGAAAAGTAAGTTAATGAGAAAGAGTGAGCTAAAACATAAATACATGAGCTTTTAGGTTGTTTCTGGTCCTCATCTTACGAGTAAATCAAAAAGTACCAGACTCTGCCTTCCTTCCTGTGTGAGAGACTATGCATGAGAGCTTAACCATCAGGAGTAGATTTTGTTCCTCCTGTGTAGCTGATAAGATAGGGAAGGACCATGTATTTTCACCAGTGAAGCATGGGAAGTGATGAAATGGTGGAGCAACAGCTGAGGCAGTGGTGCTGTGATAATTATAGAAGCAGCCAAGCTGGTAATAACTGGGAGATCCTGCAGTGTCTGGAACAGAGGCACTGCAGTCTCTTCACCTGTGTTTATTTTTGGTTCTACCATGAGGCTAATGCATAAATTCAGCACCAGTCCTGACAGCCCCAGTCTCTGAGTCTTTCCATTATCTTATTTTAGCATGAGGCTAAGTGCTGTGACTATGGGCCAGTATGATGTAGCCTCAGTTTAATGAGTGAGCTCAAAGCAGGGTTAAGACATGTTCTGTTCCCTTCAGTATCACTGTTCTGGATTTGCGTTATTTAATCTGGTCTTCCCCTTGATGAGATAGAGACCGTCCAAAGCAAATCCACTTCTAGCTCATACAAAATGTGTGGTAGCACATTCAGTTTTACTGCATCCACTGCTCAACATATATGAAACTCTGAAAACTGATGTGTGCAGTGCCTCATGAAAGATAATAACCAGTATTTTAAAAACATTTTTATTAACAACTAAAACTGTTGTCCCAGAATGATTCTAGCTGATATTTGCAGCTATTTGCTGTTGTTAATGTGGTGCTCTGTAGATTTTTCCTTTCTCTTTTTCCTTTGCAGTAAATCAATAGACTAAATGACACCCACAGAGCTATGGCTGGAAGTCATGTGATATTGCCTTTATTCTGTTCCACTTGGCTGGTGCTTTGCCTGCTTCTCCTGTGCCAGCTCCAGTAAAGCAGGCTGCAGCATGTCAAACTTTCAGCCTTCTCAATGCAATGGCCACAAACATTTTAAAATGATAACAACTGAGAGCAGTCTGCTTGGCTGTTTATACTTCCAAAATATAACAGCAAAGCAAACCTTTTCCTTTCGTGACACAAAATTTAAAAAATATGCAATTCTTTCCATCATGGTCACAAGTAACAGAAGTTGGATTTTGTAGGTGAGAAGCTGAAGGAGAAGAGGCTAATTATCTACAGCATAGTAGTGATATAAACTTTAAATTCTATTTAGTGATTTTTTACGATAGCAATAGTAGTAGTACAATATGAATTCACACTGATTAACCTAAGAAGAGCTCTCAGTACTTTGAGCTAGAGACCCTTTCAGGTGATCTAAATTTCCACCTTCTATACTCTGAATTAAACTGCAGTGGAATAAAAGTACCAGTTGGTTTTGCTATATGAGATGCAGGTGGGTACAGTCGTGCTACAGCTGCTGCTGCCACATGCTGTTGCATCATCTGCCAGCAACTCTTTGGGCTCAGGTTTGTTACTTTATTAATTCAGCTTCAACAGATATGTATATTACAGAATAACTCCCTGTTCATTTCAGGGAAGATGAATGAGGTGATCTTTAAGGGTCTCTTGCAACTCAAATGATTCTAAGAAATCCAGTTAGAGCTTTTTTGGTTTCAAACTTTGTTTCTGGTGAGTGTTAATATGAATCATCTACTTTTATTTCTGACGTTAGATATCTTCTTTTTCATACTAGCATATGATATATGAAGCAGCTATTAGCAGTTCTCCAAATATAAGCCTGTATATTCAAATATAAGTCATGGTGCTGCTACATTTATAGTCACATGCCAGACTTTTTTTTTTTTTGCTTTAAGTGAAGTTAGAAACCAAGAAGAAATTTAAATGTGTGTCAAAACTATTCACAGGATGTGAAATATGCACAACATGATTTTTCAGGGTTCTCAGCATTTGTGTCACTTTGCATTTTAATGCACATTTCTCACAGAATTCTGTTGCAAGTGACAGTACTTAATATTTTTGCAGACCAAACTATAATGTCTCTTCTCAAGGATCAGTGAATCAGGAAATTAGTGCTCACATAAGAAAGGGAGATCTGAGTGATTTGCCATGCCACGCAGAAAATGCCAAGCTGGGAACCAGTTCTCTGCATTTTCATCTGTCTTAAGACCAGTCAGCCATCCCCTTCACTTTACAGCTTTGCTAAAATCCCTGGGTATTGTCTATCTGTTCCGCCACTTGTGGTAGGAGTTCTCTGGAAGAAACCAGGGAGACTCACCATATAACTAAAGACCTTTATAGAATGAGGTCAAACTAAGGTGAAGCTCTCATTCTGGTATTTCCTAGCTTTTAAATGTACATTTTTACAACCTGACATTTTAGTATGGTCCTTGATGTACAGTTAAGTAGATACTGCTGATATCATTGAATGCCTTAGTATTGAGTTACATTATTATTGCCAATATTGAGTAGGAATAACCCAGACTGGTGTAACTGATGCTTATACCTGGAAATAAATCATGGTGTCTGTTTAAGTAAAAAGGAAAAACAAACAAACAAAACAAAAAAAACCCTTTTTAAAATGGCTTTATAAGTGCCAACTTTATGTGAAGTCACGTCTCAAACTGCAAAGCATGACAGTGGCTGTTTCAAACTTAAAGTTTAGAAAAGAAAAACGGGTAGCAGAAAAAAAGATTCATTCTGAAGTGGAGAAATTTTTTTTTTTTTCCCATATTTTTAAGTAACATCTAGAAAAGGATAGCTTTCTAGATGAGATGGTACTAGAAAATGAGAACTATCACAGGATGATCTCATGTTCCCCCTTGCTAGGTCAAATGTATCAAGGTCACTGCAGGTATGTTGCTAATCTACTCTTAACAGCTGGTAAAGACTCCACAGCCTCCCTAACAGGGCTCTCAGCATTGTTCTATCATTTGTATGGCTAGTATGTAGAACCTAAAATGCCCCCAGCTGCTAATTTGACATTTCTTTGGTGCAGTTGTAGGCCATGCTCCTTTGCCTGTCCTTCCAGACTCCCCAGGCAGCACACTCAGCTCTCAGCAGCAGACTTGGGGGGGGATTGTGAGCACGTCCTCATCCCCTCAGTCTGCTCTTCTGTAGCCCAAACAACCCGGTTACTGAGAATGTTCTAACCAGTCAGTCTTTCTAGGCATTCAGTCATTTTCATTCTTCCACTTTGACTTCTCTTGATCCGTATCCCCTCTGAAGTAGAACTTCCAGAATTGCACCGCATCTTCAGAAGCACTATGAGTCTGATCAAAAAAGATTTACTCAGTCAGATCAGACTGCAAAACAAAGAAATTGGGATAAATTACTTATTAACTTCCCCACTATCCTTCTCCTCCTTTGCTAAAAGATAAGCACTGCATTTTTCCTTCTTTCATTGCTTAGTGCTCTTGCCATCCTCCAGAAGTTCCCAAAAGTAACTGCTAATAAACTTGAAATTGGTTCTGTCATCTCTGCAAGTATCCTAAAATGAAGCTCATTGGAGTTGTTTATGTCAAAGAAGACTTGTTATAAAATAGCACTGTTCAGACCACTTGAAAGAACCCTCGGTATGTTAAAATGTCCAGTTCAGTTGGTTTTTTTTTAGGACTCCCTGAACAAAAATTCATATTAACAATTCAAAGCTATGAATTAAGTTTAAGTGCAACCGGAATACGTACTCTGGGAGTTGTCATGAAGTGAGCTGTACTTACTTTTAAAAAGGCAAACGATTGATTTTGCTGGTAGAAGTCTTGTGCAGAGCAAGGAGATAATGATGCTTTTAAATTGCTTATGCCGCTTTCTTCTCCTTGAGTTGTCTTGGTGATTTCAGTGAGGTCCCTGGTGGAACAAGGTGCTGTTTGGTCGTGTTGAAGCTGATGAAATGGGCAAGACCTCTTTTACACAGTGAGGCCTGTTTCTGCTTAAGAACTGCAGCATCAAGCTATTAAATATGACCTTACTGAACTAGAAAAGTGGGAACTTATTTTAAAGTAGTGTATGAAATATATTCTGTGGTTTAAGAGTGTGAATGGCTTAGAAGTAACTTTACCTTCTGTGAATGCACAGGCATTTTATTTATTTTTGCCTGTTCTATCTCCAGGTACCCAGTTACACCTTGATATAGTTCTGTTGTAAAGGCTTCAGCTTACAAGGTGGCTTACATAGTGTTGCCCACAGGTGTCCATAAAAGGGACAGGTAGCTGCTCATATAACAGCTTGATTTAATGGAATTTATGTGCTATAAACCACAGCAATTAATTCGTGAGCATAGCTCTCTTTTATAGAGGGGAAAGATCTGAGAATTGATAAGGAGCCAAGACCTTTGTTATAAAATAGCCATCAGCATCCACTGAAACAAGCTGTCCCTTTCTGGAGCTTCATGGTGTCAATGAAGCTATGGCACAGATGATTTCAGCCTAAGACTGTTTGGCTTATTGAGACAGTATGGTGTCATGCATACACTGAAATGTTAAGAAGGTGGACAGTTGGGGAACATCTTCATCTCTGTACTTCTTTCTATTCAGTGCTTTCAGACCAAAACCTACAGTCAAACTTCATATTCTTTGTGAAATTTCAGATTTTTTTTCCAACCTGAGATTTTGGCTACAATTTCTAAAAAACATGAAATGTGGGTTGAATTTCCTGTGAAACTAGCTGACTTGGAAAAAGAAATTAAATCATTAAAAACAAAACGGTTTTAATGGCTTTGGCAGAACCATTGATTATGTTATAATGGAGTTCAATATGAAGCCTTGAAGACTTGACTCTATTAAAAAAAAAAAAGAGAGAGAGAGCTACTGTGGCCTTAGTTCTAAAATACAGTATGAAATAATGTCAACAACTAATATTGAAGGCTTTTTATCTCTGTGCAGAAAAAACACACTAAACAACTAACAGCTGAGTTAGTTACAGTCCTAACTCTACCATGAGCTTCTCCTATAGCCTGGAGAACATCATTCCCTTGCTCCTAGGCTAGCTTCCCAGGCTCTGACATGGAGATTTTCAGATTTTATTGTCTCAAGGCATACATTTAAACTGAGATTAACTAAAACAGTTCAATTTTTTTGTTGGTTTGTTGGACCATCCTGAGGCTAAAATGGTGTTGTTTTTTTAGAAATGTTGTTTAGAAACAAATTGACAATGGCAGCAGTCTGTAAACACAGTTAAATCTTAAACTGAGCAAATAAAATGGAAAAATCTGGTAATGAAAGATTATCACTCAGTGGAATTATAGCTTAGTTTGACATTCTCCTTCTCTTGTTTTTCTTACTGTAATTTCAAAACATTGATTGAGAAGAAAGATTTTTCTCAAAGCCAGATCACATTAACAACTTCTAGTTCTTTTTTCCTTCTCCTAAATAGCAGTAGCTTGTTTCTGTTTAGCTGATCCTGCAAACTATAGCTAACATAATTTAATTGTCACAATAGAATTTCTATTTGACACTGTGGGATAAAAGCAGCAGTAGAATGATAGAGATAAAAGATGACAGAAAGGATGATCAGAGAGTAAATTTGCTTCTACAGTCAAAGAAAAAATATTTGTCAGTTGCGGTAACATGAATACTTTGCTTCTTAATGTCATTCAAAGCTGTTTCACGGCAGCAATTATAATTTCCTCCCAGTTAGCATACTACTTTCTTTTTACATCAAAAGTAATTTTTCAGTTCATAACCATAGCATTGTATGCACTGGCAGATGGCAAATGTGGAAACCCCCAGCTGTCCCACACATATTGCCAGGGGTGAAGGGAAGCTGAAGGCAGCCAGGGATTGTGTGTAAGGGCAGATTTAGGGAACATGAGACAGAAGGAAACTATAGAGTATTCAAAGATAAAGGGTATGTGCCCCTAGCAAACCAAGATCCGTTCATTTAGCTGCTCGTACAAACATTTAGTGTGAGAAAGTCTGTTGTATACTTCCAGCTCACTCAGCCCAAGAGAGTCTGATAGTTGCATGGCTATTGCCTTCCTTCATACCTCTTATGGAGGGGAAAGATATGAAAACCATATATTGCATCATAGAAAAACAGCATGAATTTTCCATAGGAAATCAATGAAATATAAAACTGATATTTCTGGGGAAAATTCCACACAACTTGAATTGCACTGTTACTCAGAGGGACTCGCTGGGTGTGGGACAAAATCTGGGGTGATTTCCATGAGCTGTGCTCCATCAACCACTATTGCAGAGCTGGGTCTGTGGGGTTCAGGCATTCTCTCTTGCTTTCAAGCTGGCAGGTGCTTAACTCGGTCACAAAAGTACCTGTAAGCAAGCCTGCTATGTTCTGGTACTTAAATTTTATGCCTCTTCAAAAAATCTGCACAGAAAAAATCTAAGGAGAGAAGCTTTTATTGAGAAGAAAAAGTTTAATTATTGAACATACAGTAGTGACTCAGCTGCTGGCCTTTATTTGATGAGTTACACAATAACAGCCTGTTCCAAACACACAAATGAATGGCAGAAGATCACCTCTTTTCAATTATGTTTCAGCACAGAGGAAACTTTTAACAAGAGTTACACACAACCTTTCCCAATGTGTTAGCTTCATTTCTGTCTTATTTTCTTCCTGCATAAATGGACCAAAGTGACTCTGTAAGAGAATGAAAGTATAAAAATAGCTGACATCTTGTTAGACCAGTTTGAAAACACAAATGCACTAAATCTAACTAGGATTGATGAAACATCGTCCTCATTACTGTGTCAGCACTAATAGGCACAAAATTTAGCAAAATCTTATTATTTCCTAGTTTCACCGGTCCTGCTTCTTTCTGTTAAAAAAAAAAAAAAAAAAAAGCAGTGTTTTTTTGTGAACTACAGTCATTTTTCTTATAGAAATTTTGGAGTGCTTTTGTGAGAATAAGAAATGTTGGCAGGTGGCAAACGTGAGAACGCTTGAATTTGGCTTCCAGGCTGAAATTTCATTTATGCTTCCTGACAGAATAAATTAGCAGGGGCTGAGATCCATGCAGCTAGGCTGTGACTAGTCATTATGCTCTAAAATCACTTTTATTACTTCAGCATTAACGTATCTACCTTTGGAGTTAATTTTAGACCCAGTGAGTCCAAGCCCTCATTATTTTTGTACTTGCCTTTATTATTATGAGAACAACAGAAAACCTATAGCTCTATCCCCTGCTGGAAGCAAATGCTCTGTTGGTGTTTGCTTTGAACACCATGTTCTTTCTGAGCTCAGCTCACATCTTCATCCTGAACGTGCCATGGAGTAAAGAGGAGACTCCCTGTTCAACTGCCACAGGCAGTGATTGCTTCAGGCATGAGATCAGTTAGGCTTTTGGGGATCATTTTTCTTTATGGAAGCATATAGTGCAGTGAGGGTTTGTTTGCACATGTATTTGAATCGTATATATCTCATTACTTGTCTTAAACATGTTTTACTCATTTTTGTTAACTGCAATCTGTGACTATATAATGAAGGTATCTTTGCTTTTTGTTTTACAGCATTCTTCTTGATGAAGAGGGCCACATTAAGATAACAGGTACGTGAGGAACAGGAAACTTAATGCCTACAAGCTGATTTAATTTGCAGTATGTTCCATGCAACTTTATCATTGTTTGAAAAGGAAGAAAGAAAGAAAGGAAGAAAGAAAGCTTAAGAAGCAGAAGAGTTTGGGTATTCATGTTCTTTCTCATGGCAATTTGTCATGCTCTCACTCTCCACAGCATGTGGAAAACATAGGTTTTCTTGGTAAAGTCACTATCCTGACTGATAGAGCTTACATTTTTGACTGCCTGCCACTATGGATGGATGGATGTTCCCAGTACGATTGCTTACTCCAGATAAAATTCTCTGAATTTAATAGCTGTAGCTGTGTAGAGGACATCTTCGAAAGCCATCCCTTTGCATGAAATGTGTTATCACCATTTCCCATCTGGGATTATTGCTATTAATGCTACTGTAAATTAAGAAAGAATCTTTACCAGCATTTTCTTTGCCAAATTCAAACTGTTTTTTGAGCTGAATCTGCTGACTTGCACATTCTCTTCTGCTTTGAACCTCAGTGATAGGTAAAAAAAATAGTACATGTGCTTTCAAGACATATTAACAAATGCCACTCAGGTATTTAACATAGGTAGAGCTTCACTGTGCGTGTACCTGTGGCTTTCCTACACACAGAATATGCCCACAGATGGATGGCTGCTCCATTGTCTGTTCCATGTATTCTCCAACCACTTTTTATTTGGACAGATTAAGTGCATAAGTGTTAATAATACCTGTTAGAAATTTTACAAGTCTTCTTATTTCAATTTATTTAGATTTTGGTCTGAGTAAAGAAGCCATCGATCATGACAAGAGAGCGTATTCGTTCTGTGGGACAATAGAGTATATGGCCCCAGAGGTGGTCAACCGCAGAGGACACACTCAGAGCGCTGACTGGTGGTCTTTTGGTGTGCTCATGGTAATGGAAAAGTTGTATTTTTTTGTTGGAGTGGTGTCTGGAAAGTGAGCAGTCACTGAGATAACAAATATAACTTTCAGCAGTAAAGGGTTGATAGGAAAGTAGATGTGTGATAATTGCCTGATCATTTTCATTGCATCAAGAATAGGAAACAAGCTGCCCCTGGCAGCATATGAGCTAAAATTTGCCCGTAGATTTTCTCCTTTATCTCATTTCCGTCAGTAGTATGTTGTTTCAGTTTGTTGCTTTGAGCCATAAATATTTTTGTTCCACAGGAACAGAGCAGGGCAAGCTTGTAAGAGTGCAAGCATTTCAGAAAAAAATGTCTACCTAGTTACTAACACAGATCTTGTTTGGAAACATTCCCAAGGCAGGAAATTTCAGAGGTTAGGGGCATATTCTTGAAGAAACTTGGGAGTGTACAATTATTCTTTTTTGTAAAATATATTTTTTAAACAATGTATTTTTGAGGGCACTCTGCTTTACAGTACCTCAGATTCTTTTGCCATTAATCTGCTTTCTTTACATCAGCATTTCTAAACAAAGTCACTCCCATGTGCCTTTTAATAAAGTATTTGACCCAGTGTTGCAGGAGCAAGTTACTAATTTAAGGTCATTAGTCCAAGAACTACCTATACCATCTAGAAATGTACAACAAGGAAGAACATGATAGAGAGAAAGGAGTTATTCATGCTAAAAAGTAATGTTATCCCAAAGTCAGATAGGAACAAACCCTTCCAGAAATGACAGATTATTTAAATATTGTTTACCGTAAGCAAACAAATGGTTCCAACAAAAGTAGCAACAGGTAGCAATGTGAAAACTAGTGAGCATATTTTGGGAGAGGGCCTACATTGCTGATCTAGCTGGTTGACAGCAGTTAATCTAAGGTAAAGATTGCAATTAATTACCTGAATGTAAAAGATGGACATCCTTATCTCCTAGAGACACAAAGCCATTTGTGGATGCTGAGCACTTTTGAATCATGTTTGTTCAGAAAAATCAATAGGTTATGTCTCCTATAATAAATACACCACAACCCTTTAAATTTCTCATGTGTTTACTTTTGGAGGATATCGTGCCTTCTCACTATCTTTTACTATCTTTGTTAAAAAGAAACACTGATGTTTTTGGTGCATAGATTGGTTTTCTTTCACCTCCTAATGAACTTGGCTCTTTGCCACATGTTTTTTGCTAGGCCTTTTTTTTTTTTTCTCAATCTCTTTTCTTTATATCCTCTCCCACAGATTCAACATGTTAGAATTGGAAAATATAAAAATCCATTTAAAGAAAGTTGAATTATTTTAATTGTAAGCTGATGCTTTAAGCTTCTGAGTGCTACTGTATACTTTAGAGAAAAATATATTTAATCAGTTCAACCTTTTTTTCCTCTTTATAAATTAACTGATTATGGCAAGAGGATTTTCATACGCTTGAAGTGTACAAGGATTTCCAGTGTTTCTTGGGCTCTGCTCATCACTTGCATCCTCTGTTAGATAAGCTGTTTTTATGCTAGTTGGAAAAGCTGCCAGGAATTCAACAGTGTCCAACTTCACCATTCTCAAATGTTCTGCAAGTACTTGCCTCTTATTTAATAAGAGATTTTTACTGTTTTGTACCCAATTGCAAATGTGCTGGGGAAGCTGTGGTTTATCATGTCTAGATTCTTTTTTTTTTCTTTTTTGTCCTCTTGCATCTTACTTACTGTATTGAAGATTTTAGATGGAATGTTGCTCAGTTTTAACACTATTCTTCAGAAATTTTGCATCAAGAGACCTGCACAAGCAGGCCTGTACAAGAAAGGAAAATATTCCCCTTGCTAGCCAACGTACTCTATTTTAGGGTAGTTTTCACTTTCACCTGTACAGTGGCCCTGGAAAAATCAATATAGTACATCAAAGCAATAAGATCTTCTTTTACAAAATCGTATCATAATATTCTTGTTTTATTCCCATTACATCGGATAGCATTCTTAATGAACCATATTTTGAACATTTATGCCAGCTGCTGTGTGAAGGTATTCAAATCCTTTAGAAGAAATAAAATTCATTATGCTTCATATATAGCTAATAATGATAAATAAAGCATTTTACAGATGGTAAAACTGAGTGCCTGACCAACTCCCAGCTTTCTGGAAAATTGCTGAAAGTGTTGAGAGGAGAAGCCAGCTGTTCTGACAAGAGTGTCTCTACTATCCAGTTCTAAGTAATATCAAGTTTCTTTTGTGACTTCAGTTTTTGTCCTAGGCTCACAGTATTCAGGCAGATTTGGGCTAGGATTATTTGCACAGTCTTCTATCCTTCCATCTGCTAGGAATATTCATCTGGCAGTTACCCCAGGCTGTGGATTTTTCTTGTAGTTGCTCTTCCTCAGTGACCTAACAGGATCACTTCTCATATCCTTTCCCACCAAGCTTGTTCTGTGGTTGCATTAACAGACAGCTGAACTGGAGCAGGGAATATTTGCCTTTCTTGCTGAATATTAGTATGGAAAGGAAGCCAAAGCTGGAAAGAGACAATGTCTTCTGAAGTGCTGGCTTTGAGAGGGCAGCTCTCCAGAATACCCAAGAAGTGAGTAGTTGGGAGGCAAGGAACAAGCCAACAGATGGTTTATACAGATGGCGAAGCGGGAAGTGAAGAGTGCATTTCCCAGCAAAACTATGGATTTCACTTTAATAGCCAAAGATGCTGTAAAGTTTGTTCACACCTAGGCCCAGCTCCCAGTCAACCTACCGTGACCCATATGACTCTGAACTTATGTGAAATATTAGCAGCAAAGTCTTACTTCTGTTCTCATGTTTAGGTTTAGCAAGGGTTTTGATATTTAAAAACAAACAAACAAAAAACCCAGGAAACCAGAGTGTTGTGCAGCAGCTTTAACTATATTCATTTTTTCAGTGTTCTTCAGTTTCATTGTTTCATTTTTAATCTTGAGCAGATTTCAGAATCAGGGCAGCGTTTATAGGAACCAGTGCTTTCTTCCAGCTGCTGCTCGGTAGAATTCACTGTAGTCAAAAGCTCTGGTGTATTTAACACATAAGGCAGTTCACTTTAAATATTGATGTTAAGTGCATTTCTCCTGAATCTGCATTAGTCTAGCATTAGACTTGTAAAATTGGTAACAAAGCTCTAGCTGTTGGAGCAGTGCAGTAAATACTCCCTGCAGCCTTTAGGACAAGTGACTTCCCCTGCTCCCTCCTGCAACTTCTATTTTTTCTTTCCTTCCTTCCTCCTTCAGCACTGCATCTGAATTTCTTGCCCTTGGGTTGCTTGGCCCTGCACACACAGTGTGTTTGCAGATCTGTCTCTGATATTCTGGTGGGTTGGAGCTACAGTTGTCATTTTCTCACAAAGTCATTGGCCAAGCAATAGCATGTACCTGTTATCATATACATCAGCAGCTTCAAGCCCATTTCTGTCTAAATAAACGAGCTGTAGCAGTCATTGTTAGTGCTGTTAAATTAAATCTATTATAACAGCAAAGTGACATGAGCAAGCGTAAGTGAATATTAGATACTTGCCTAGAACATAAAGGAAGCTGTTTAGAAATCATGATGAGGGTTTTGTACAATGTGCCACTTTCATTACTGCTCTGGGAAGTGATCTTCTCTGCCCCTTGTCACAAGGATATATGACCATTTTTGTTAGGACAGAGGCTCTTATAGGTCAGAGTTATTTTGAAAATAGGTCTTGAGCTCCTCTGTCATTTAGGCAGTTTCAACAATTCTACTCTATCACGTTTCTTTCTAGCAGACAAGCTGCTTTTTTCCTCCTTTGTCAGGTAGCTGCTCTCTTGACTTTCTTAGATGAGACAGGAGTGAAAACCTTTGTATTTTTCCAAATCTTGTCTGTATTTTTCAGTCATACAAACATTTTTAAAATATTTTTCCATGCTTCTGGCTCATATTTTATTATCTTGTAGTAATTTTTACGTAATGCAAATAAGTCCTCCAATTAATTATAATCGATTAGTTGTTTGGCTTCTAAGCCTCTCATTTAGCCTCCTCACAAAACTAACTTAACAGTTTTGTAGGTAGAATTTTCTTGTGCCTTCAGGTAGTTTTCTTATGGCACAGCTGTATTTAATCTCAGATAAGACAGAGCAGTGAAGCTTTTGTGCAGTAAGTTACAGAAACTACATAATGGTTGCAGAGACTGTCCTACTTTAAGAGGTATTTAATTACAATAATGAGCATTAATTAGCAGGTACTTATCCTAGAAGAGATCCAAAGCCTGTATCTCAGATACAAGTGGATAACTCTTCTCTTTCCTCTTAATGGACATTGTCCTCCTTTATGCTTGGCTGAATTATGTTCTTGGTTTATTTTTAATTGCTGATGCATAACTTTCATCAGCTACTACTCATAGCCCTATGAAACACTGCATCTAGAGCTGCATGAAGGACCTGCTATTGAATCCATACTAGACATAGTATAATGTCTACTAGATTGTATAAGTATACCATCAATCAAATAGACAAGATTGTATAATAGTGGCATTGTTAAGTAGTGCAAATATGCAATCAGCAAAGGTGATAAGACTCAGATAAAAAGAATATCCTGAGTTGGAAGACACCTATGAGGATCGTGGCTTCACACAGCACCACCTAAAATCTAAACCATAAACCACCTCCCAAAATCTAAACCATACATCTGAGAATGTTGTCCAAATGCACTATGGCAGCTTGGAGCTATGACCACAGCCCTGGGGAGCCTGTTCTAGTTCCCAGTCACCCTATAGTGAAGAACCCTTCCTAATACCAACTTGATGCTTCCCTGACACAGCTGCATGTAATTCCCTCAGAAGGGATGGTGAATTCATTTGCCCCCACAGCACAGTCTTTGCCAAATGCTTAAAAATAACTGTATCTGTTCAAACTAAGGTTTTGTCGGGCCAATAGCATCCATCTTTTCTCCAATATTGACCAGGAATAAGTGCTGGAAATAGCAGCACATGTGATGCTTCTCCCCAAGTTTACCAAAATTTACCATCAAGTATCAGCGTAAACAATTTAAGACCCTTGAACTAAGTAATCATACTGATACATAATATTCTGCATAATCTAGACTTGCTGTAACATTTTTTCCATAACTACTGTTTATTGGGCCATTCCTTCTCAGTTTTTCAGTACTGTTTGAAATAAATAGAAAATGGTTGGTGTGTGATGAGCTATTAAGGCTGTCTCAACACTTACTCAATTTACCATTTCTTCATTATTCCACAGTTTGAGATGCTGACAGGGTCATTACCGTTCCAGGGAAAAGACAGAAAGGAGACAATGGCTCTTATACTCAAGTGAGTATTGAAATCTATTTCATTCCCTTAACTATGAGAGCTATACACTTGGGGCAGCCTATAGGTCCAACGTATAAGAAAGGTAGAGATTAATAATGTGTATAATGAGTTTTTCAAAGCTCTGTAAGGTGTTCACAGCTAAATCCTATATGTGGTTCTAAAATTGTCTTCAGAGCGAATAGCAGGAAGTGAATTACCAAACAGGCCTTACAAAATAAATATGTGCTAGTGTCTGTAATACAGAATTATACAGTCATTATCCATACAGAAGTGGAGATAGATTCTAGAGGACAGCTTATGTTCTGTTTTTTCAGGGTTTCACATTTTTTTCCTTAGAGAATTTCCTACTCATTTAGTGTTAAGTGCAGCACAAGTATTTCAGAGCTTGCAGCTTATCCTTTATTGGTGGTACATGTCTTCTCTGTAGCTGTGAATCACTGAGGGAAAAGTGTTATTCTCCCTAATCAATATATGATTTATTAATATTATCTTCATGATACTTTATGTCTTTAAATTTCTCTGGATTTCCAAAATTATTTCAACAAACTAAAAAACTAAAAAAAATTTTTAAATTCCATAGGAAAAATACCTCTTAATGTTTTGCAAAAAGTATTAAGAGATTCAGTAGATTTATTCCAGTGATGCCAGTGATAAAATGTATTTTAACTTCAACAGAACAAGATCAGTCCCTCAGTTTGTATTGCGGTATGTTTAGGTAGTCATGCCTTTGGTCAGCAAATTCATTGCTTGCTCCTCCTACCTGCTGCTATGCCACTCTTTAAACCAAAGTGTGATGTAGAAAATTTTTGAAAAGTCTATTTTCTTTTCAAGTGTTGTGTCCTTTCAGAGCCAAGCTGGGAATGCCACAGTTCTTGAGCATAGAAGCCCAGAGCCTGCTGCGAGCCCTCTTCAAAAGAAACCCAGCTAACAGATTAGGTACGCACAGGCTTTACATCAATGCATTTGTTACATGTGCTTGGTCTTGTCAGGTGGTGATCATTTCTCTCACACCATCTTCCCTGACAGTCGTCTTCTTCATTATGTGTACATTTTACATGCCTTGCCAGAATGCAGGAAACCTTCAGAATACTAGAGACACTTGGAAAGAGCACGGAAAAAGCACTGGAATACAAAACATGTTATTAGCTTGTATTTTCTTTTTCAAGAAACAGGGAGAATGAACCAACATCATTTATGAACTCATGCATATGATAATGTAGAGAACCTGGATGGCAGGGATCTTTTTGTTTTATTCTGAGTAGATGAGCTGCAAATCAGAAGTGGAGGAAATAAAGGCAGTAAAATTTATCATGAGTTCCCCTGTTCTAAAATGTATTTTGATGCTGTCTCATTTTGGTTGCTATGAACATTTTAACAGTTCGTTTTCTTTATTGCCCAAAACATATTATATTCTTTCTCGCTGACATATTTTTCCCCTTTGTTAGTAATTCAATTTAAATTGTGATAAACTAGAGGGATATATTGGATTCTGTATCTTATGCCATCTCTGCCTTTGTTTGGGAGTTTTATTAAGGAATTCATTACATTTGGTTAGATCACAGACCATGCCAGGCACTTAATTTTTATTGAAAATTTAATATTCAGTTTTTATGTGTAAAAATAAGAATAGTCAGATCAAGTGAATAATACCTGATAATAGTATTGTCATCTTTTTCATTTGAAAATCATATCTTGTTCTGTGACCAAAAAAAAAAAAAAAATGAAGGCTTATTTTTGCCTCACATCTTTCTTATGTTTTGCTGTGTTTTAGATGAGTAAGGGAAGAATTTGTTTTTAAAGGAAAAGGGGAAACCAAAGAGAAGTGTGGAATAACTTCAAAGTACACGTCTTATGTTTGTCCTGGTTTCCTTCTCCTTTGTAACCCCTTCTGCAGGACTTTTGTGCTGGGCCTGCAAGGCTGGCTAGGAATGGGGACCCTGTCCTTTGGCATGCTGCTGTGACCCCCACTCCTCATGGGAGAACTCCACATGACCCACAGAAATGATGCACTCCCATGGGTCCTTCCTCTTGACCTAATAAAAGTTCTTGTAGACTGACAGAGGAGAAAGTGCAAGAACACATTTTCTCAACAGGTTTCAACTGCTGCAAGTAGTTGACTTCATATTACAGAAAACTAGAGTTTGTGGAATTTCCAGATTTAATCCATGTTCAGGAAGATAAGACACAGCAATAAATATAAACTTTTCCTCTCTTCCTTCCTTGTTTCCTTTCTGCTTTCTTTCTGTTCTCCGTCTCTTGTTTTGTTCTGCTCTGCTTATTTTGTGGTTTCCCACAAGTTTCTGTGCAACCAAAATGTGCTCCAGTAAAATCAGTGGGCAGTTCTGCATACTAGTCCTGAAGAAAAAAAAAAAAGTTGATCAGTTAAATAAATAAAGTTCCTTAGCATTACAAATAAGCTAGGATAATTCTAGCCCCAGTATTTTCTCATTCTGATGAAGGAGAAACTTATTTTTTAAAGTTTGTAATCTCATAAAATTGAAAGATAAAGTTTTCTATGCATCAATGCAGAATGTGTCTTCTCCATCTTCTCCAACTACAGTATAAGGAAAGAATGACCTCGTCTTTGGCCTCTATGCTTAATCTACTGGCACATGCTTTTTGCTTTATAGTTTCATGGCCAAAACTTTAAATGTAGCAGTAGAAAGCTTCAGAAGGGTCTCTGTATTTTAACTGATTGAGAATTAGAATGAATTGATGAAAACATATTTGAAGAAGAAATATTTAAATGATTGGCGTAAATGCTGGACAGAAACCAGCAAATAAAAGGCCTGCTTCAGCTTTGTAAGTTGTAGGTTTCTCTGGGAAAGGAAAAAATAGTCTAAAGTTGAAAGGCAAGTGAAGTTGGACATTGTGTTTTGAAAAATCTTTGGAAAAACAGTGGAGCATACTAAAATTAAGTGGGAACCATATTATAGATCAAACACTTGTGTTCAGTCCTTGTTTCAAATGTGTGCAAATCTGGAGATTGTTTGTATTCAGTCCAAAATTGTTCCTAACTTTGGCAAGCTAAACGAAGCTGGGCTTCAAAAATCATTTTATTCTGACTATCATCTTTCTTTTTGCTGTTTGATGTTGACATTTTAACGAATAGAAGTAAAGATTGACTAGGAGTTTTACAACTTTGTTTTAAGCCTTTGTTTAAAACTCTATTATGAATGAAAAAATACTAGAATTGAATGGAAAGAAGGATGTTCAATGTTTCTCTGATTTTGCTTTAAAATCTGATGCCCATGCTATTTCTTTCTAACAAAATTTTAAGCAATGGAAATTATTGGGCACTCTCATTTTCTGAAGCTAAATACGTAACAAATTGTCTGCATAGCACTGTTTTGGGAGCATTGCTCTGATTAAATACAACAAATTGCAGATTATGAATGGACATAATTTTATATTACTACAGGAGATAAAGAGGAATATCAGACAAAGAAGGTGCAAGCATCTTAGAAAGGAAATTGTATGATAGAAGTATGAGTTTATTGCATTGATAGTAATTAAGCAATGGACTAATTCTCGTATCCCCAGAAGTTTGGATCTGTTCAGGTGGGTGAATTATTGTAGAGTATTTCTGGAACTCTTTACACTGCTGAGAGGTATAAAGGTTTCAGAGTCCTCAAAATTGATAATTTTGGCCAAGAAAGTATAAAGTAAAAGCATGTGCTAGTAGATTCAGCATAGAGGCCAAATAAGTGGTTATTTTTTTCAATTGTATGAGATGATGATCTTTAAAAAACAAATTTATCTTTCATTGAGTGACTGTATATCTTCCTTGTAAACCTTAGAATGAATTTCCAAATGTCTGCCACTGACTGGGAAGCTGTAGAAAAACAAACATTGTTTGCTAAAACTAAAATTCTGGAAAATCCTTCTGCTCATTTTGAATATTCAGATAATCAAGTTTCCTATTGTCTTCCTTTTTCCCCTCATTTTATTTCAAGGCTCATGTTATCCATAATAATTCAACCATCAAAAATAATTACAAATAACACATTCTCTTGCTACTGCACACAGACACTTTTATTATGAGCATAAAAAAATCTTAGGTAATTAAGTTCTCGCTTATTAATAGGAGATAACTTTTATATAAATCCTTGCAGTCTATAATGTGTTTAACCTTGTAGTTTGATCTGAAAGCATCATTTATCATCTTGGACCCTTGTGGGACTGTTGGGCTGCACTTCAGGCAGTAGGTTTGATGTTGCAGATCACTCTTCACAAGTAGATCTGATTACAAAGGTGTAGCTAAAGTGAAGTTAGAAAAAAATAACAAAACAAAACAAACAGAAAAATAGAAATCCAGAGGAAGGTGGTAGGTTTGTGGCCATAGTGTGTGACACCATGTGCTGCAATTCAGTGGTCTTCTCGGTCCTTATCCTTATTCCAAGAACTGTCCATCTCTATGAAGCAAGAGAATCCAGATGGGACTTCTGGGCTTGTTTTCTCTATGAAAGCACGTATCTTACCAGTACCACTGTAGATTTGTTGACAGTAGATGAATGGCCTCAGATGTTCAGGATCCAGAGAGGTGTAAGCAGCTGTAAGCATCTCCACTGTAACTTCTCCCTTTGATTTCCACACATGTCCAGGATGGCCACTGGGGGATCTCTGAACTGCCCCCAAGGCTAACGCCCTCAGACCATGTCTCTTCTGCTTTGGAGGGCACTGGGTCGTATGCTACTGCCTGCAGTCAGAGCACAGGGGTTATGAGGCAGATGTGGGCTGTACCAATAGGTCTCACAGCAGGGAAGATCAGGGAATAAAAACTGCAGGAAGGACTGAGTCTTCTCTGCAATGTAAAATTAGCTGCTGTGAGTTAGAAGTTCATTGCTCTTTGCAAACTTAGGCTATTACCGTCCTAAATCTCTTTAATACACCAAGCTAGCCAGAGATGGATACAAGCCATCACATTCCCAACAACGTATTCTTTCTGTGCCAGAGCTCCAAGGTGGCCTCAATTGGGTAATGCTAATTTTTCAAGCAAATACCCATGTCAACTGCATGCTGCATTCCTTTCTGCACATTTCAGTCCTCCACAAACAGCAGTAGTTATAGGTGGGCTTGGTTCTCGGTTCTGGATTCTGTGTTTTTATAGGGGGAAAAAAAAAAGAAAAAAAAAAAAGGAACAAAAAGTGTGGGTTTCAAATAGGTCGTCTTAAAAAGGTGGTTCCTTCCTATCACACGGTGTATCCATAAGCCCACAAAGCAGGAAAAAGTGAAACAGGGCAGAGAAGGTTGAATATATTGCCAGTTATCCTCAGCCTAGGGAATGCTACCAGCAACTTAGGAGTGTCTGTAGCATTTATCCTAGCTCTCTGACATTGGTTTGGCGCTTGAGTTTCATCTTCATTTAGTAAAGAACATCGAATGCACATTACAAAGTTTCCAGTCACCACCAACTGAGCACAATACATTTATCATGGATATTTCTTCTCCAAAGAGTTGCTAAGTATAATTCTTTTCAGAGTAACTTTGTCAGTTTCATCTTTCTGCTGGAACTGCTGAGATTGGAATAAATCAGCTAGGGATATCTAGTACAGACTTAGACTATGCATGGAAAAAACAAACAAGAAGACATAAGGTAAGTTACTGTCTTAGTCTATTCTCAGTATAGTCTTAGTATATTCTTGGTGAACAACTAGAAGTCATAAACTGCATCACAAAGAGCAAGAATAAGATAAACCTGTAATACTTCACCTGAATTCTCTCTTGGTCTCCATCTGCTTTAAGCTCAAGCAAGGAGTTTCCTGAACCTCTTTTGGTTTGTCAGTGAAGCAGATTTCTTCAGCAGATGTCTTTTTCATGCACTTTTCTGATCTCCTCCTGAACCTATATAAGTATTTTACATCCGTGTCCTCTTTTTCTCGGAATTCCATATCACACAGCTAGCTGCTGTCTGAAGAAAGACCTCCAGGATGCTCTGTACCTGATTCCTAGTAGCATCATTTCCTGATGTAAATCAAGTACTGGAAAAGAGATGTGAAACGGTTGATCCCCATTCCCGCTTTCCAAGCAATCATGACTTTTTGATCTGTCATATACTCTCCTCAGTTTTGTGTTTCCACATTACAAATTGTCAGCTTACTCAGTCATTCCATACTCTTCCTCTCTTCCTTTTTGATCTTTTCTGCCTATAAAAAATATACCCTTTACTAAGTGAGGGAATCAACTATATTCCACACTCACATTGCAGGTGTACAACAGAAATATATAGCAATACAGTGATGTTCAGTGTTTGTTCTCTTTAGTCTCTCTAAGATTTGATTTAATTATCCATTTTTCTAGAACTATTAATCATAGCCCAAAGGGTCACCTCAGCACTTGTAATCTTTTATATCAAGCTAGGATTGTTTATCATCGTGTGCATCACTCATGTTTGTCTATACTATTAGATTACCAGTATGGGGAAGTAATCAGCACTGTGTTCTTTTTGAAATATTATCCAGAAGGCCTGACATAATCCTGCATGTTATGTTCACAAAGTCTTTGCTTTTCATATTCACTAATCAGTGAACATTAAGTAGGCTGTAGGAAGCCATTCCTGATCAGTGCATTTTGGCAAACATTGGTAATGTCGTGTACACAAGGAGAGCAGATGTCACATTTTACAAAAGCTGGAGTTGACAAGACCTTTCTAAAACTGCTTGTAATGTTGATTCTTCAGTACAAATACTGCATAAAAAAAAACATAAAAAACTGAGTCCTCTGAGGTGCTGATTGCCTTTTGCAAGATGCTTATTAATCCTGAGTCCTTTTGGAAATCCAGGCAACTCAGCATCCTTGTAAAGAAGTGCTGGGTACCTTTCAAAAACTGGTTTCAAAACTGCAGGATGAAGCCTTTGCTTCCAAGTGTTTTTTCTCCAACTGAAAAAATAATTAAAAGTCCTATTAATGAAGTCAAATCAAACCCCCCAAAATAGCATCCTAAGTCATCTCTGACAGTTGTTTAATTATTACTGAATATTTGTTTTTTTGTGATGGCATTGAAGCAATTAAATTAAACAAAACTGACAAAATAGCAGTCTTTCCAGATTAAGATTCATTACCAGATCTCAGAGTAGTTTTCTTAAATATCCAATAGTGTACTTAAGAGGAAATTGACACTATTAATAGTGAAGGAAAGATACCACTGAGAGTGATGACTTTGATGCTCATGCAAATTTGAATATGATATTTGAAAAGGGGGAACCTAAAGTGTTGCCTTATCTCAAATCAGTTGGAACCTTTTGGTATTTTGAGTCGGAACTTACTTGTATTGCAGCTTTTCCTATCTGTAGAGATAGAGGAGGATTAGAGAAGATTAGGCAATCAACAGCAACCACTGTTGGTGGCAGTAGGCAGCCATAGCCTTAGGGGAACATCAGGACATTTTGGAACTTCTCCTGGCCTTGCTAAGTGCCTGTGCTGTGCTGTATCTGAAATCCTACATCTCACCTGAACCCCAAAGAGAGCTATCGTGGCAACAAACTCACTTAAAGGAAAATAAAAACCCTCAGCCATCAAGTTTTCATTAATGAAGTGCCATGGTCTGTGTATATGTTTGTTTGTACAGTTAGGCAGTTGTATTGTTCAGGTTTTCTTGATTAGAAGAAAATTTTAGATGGTGACTCTGTTTTTTTAAAAAAAAGGAGTTGGAGAGGAAATAAGAAGAAGATGCACTCTACTAAACATGACATTATGTTGATTCTTTCTTTTTCCTGTCAGGTGCTGGATTCGATGGAGTGGAAGAAATTAAACGTCACCCTTTCTTTATTACTATAGACTGGAACGTAAGTGAAGAAACCTTAATTTTTTCATTTTTCTTTGCTAAATTTGGAAGTCTGACTTCTGTGTTTATCAGAAAGGTTAAGTGAACTCTAACAGAGGATGTAGAGCTTTTTAAGTTGGTTCCTATATCTCTTGTGTATGTATAAATATTTTTTTATATATCTAAATATGAAAGAAACAGAAATCTACTTAGTTTTCTCTGATTTCTTTTTTCAGTTTTGTTTGATGGGCTGTCTTATGACAGTACTATCTAAGACTATTTATCTAATTTCTACATTAAACTCTGCATCAACTGTGAAAGCTGAGTCAGAGTGAAATGATGAGCTTTAAATGAAACTATTCCTGTAATGTTTCATATTCTCTATACTCAGCATTGCTGAGGCCACACCTCAAGTATTGTGTTCAGTTTTGAGTCCCTCACTACAAGAAAGACATCAAGGCCCTGGAACGTGTCCAGAGAAGGACTATGAAGCTGTGATGGGTCAGGAGCACAGGCCTTATGAGGAGTGGCTGAGGGAGCTGGGATTATTCAATCTGGAGAAGAGGAAGGCTGAGGGGAAATCTTAGTGCTCTCTATAACTACCTGAATGAGATTGTATAGAGGCAGGAGTTGGCCTCTTCTCCCATGTAACTAGCAATAGGATTATAGAGAATGGCCTCAAGTTGCATCAGGCAAGATTCAGGTTGGATGTTAAGAAATACTTCTCCAAGAGGGTGGTCAGGCACTGGAATGGGCTGCCCAGGGAGTCACCAACCCTGGAGGTGTTCAAGAAACATTTAGCTGTTGTACTGAGGGACATGGTTTAGTGAGAACTATTGGTGATAGATGGACGGCTGTACTGGATGATCTTAGATGTCTTTTCCAACATTGGTGATTCTATGATTTTGTATTTTGGTTGCAAAGGAAAACAGAGCCAAACAACTGGGTTTGAAGGAGATGCTCAGAAGAGAGGCTGATGTTCTTGGTTTTTATTCTTTTATGTTTCATATTTATGTACTTTCCCTTTCTCATTGGATCTGGCAAGTGGGACTAAATCCTAGTTTTATTCCTTACAATGTCAGGAACCTCCAAGAATCCTTTTCTCTCTTTGAATTATACAGAGTAGCTCCAGATCCTCTTTCACATATATACACTTGCAGCTCCAAGCAGCCCCAAGACTTCCAGGCTCATCATTTCCCAAACACAACTACTGGCATTGGCTGGTGTACAGCAGGCTGTGCTACATCATGCCAGGGAAATCATAAATCTTCTAAGGTGACTTTATCGGCACCTTCTTGTCTGTTTTCACTTATGTTAATATCAGACAGGATCTGACTCTTCTACGATACTGTGATGGGTGCTACAGAAATGTACTAAATAGAAGGATTTTCAGAGCAATGCTTTTACATTACTGGGTATACAAAACAGCCAACCAGTACAGGAAATAGCAACTCCTCTCACAAGTGGTTGATGTTTTATTGAGGTGAGTCATTAATTTAACATCAGCATTTAAAATTGGAACAGCAGTCATTTTATCAAATATAACATAGTTCCAATAAGAAATGTCAAACAGACATGATTCACAGAATTGTAAACAAGGATTTATTTTATTGCTATCAGATACAGCTCATAAAGCTAGCAGTAGAGTTTAGCTAAATATTCAACTCAGACTTGCAGCAGGTTAAGCCTTGCTTTTTTAAAGAAACTTGGAGGCAAACACTTTTTGTTCATTATTTTTGCATCTGCCAATGCATCAGAGCTCCCTTTTTCTGCATCCACTAATATTTTCTTGTTTAATTTTGTCTGACTTGTGTTATGGTATTGTTCTGTCTCTTTAAAACACATCACTGTTCTTACTGGTTCAGTTCTTACAATAAATTCTGGTAAAACAGTGTGAATGTCTGTCACACAGCCATCTTCAAACCACTGCCCATGGCTTTTCAATAAAGCTAATTTCTCTGTGAAAGCACATTTTATGGTGCCCAGGTGGCCTCTAAATGGCCTGCAGAATCATTTATTTTAGAAAACCGCATGAAGCTACTTTGAAAAGCATGCTGAAGAGTTGGCATGAGTCATTAGCATGTTACTAGATGATCAATGGAAATGGAGTTTGAGACTTTTCTTCATGGCTCCACTGTTTTTTTGTCCTCTTACATAGGTTCTGGAATCCAGACTCTTCATCTTCTGCTTTTTACTGATCATAAGATGCTATATAAAAGCTTTACAACTTTATCAACTCTAAAGGTATTCAAACAAATAGAATCTGGAAAAGGTTTTTATTGATACTATTACTGCTTCTGTTCCTCTTATATCTCCGTGGTCTTCACCTTTGGGGCAGGTGTTTAAATCTTAGTTTAGTTGGGAACATTGGAACAGTGATGACATGTCTCCTTTCCCTTTTGCTAGTGTAGCATTTCCTTAAATCATGGAGAAATGAGCCAGTGTATCTTGACAAAGATCCACTCCTTCCTGTCCTAAGGAATTTTCACAGTCCTCCCTCATTTGAGTAAGTTCACGTGGGCAGGCAAGGGAAATATATACCCTGAGCTGGCTAGATATGCACAAGCGTAACTTGGAGCTAGAGAGGGAAGTATAATTAACTCCTTATGATGTCTTATTTAGACTGTAACTTCACTGTAAAATATAGCTGTAAAAACTTATTTTAATCCAATCTGATTAGTTCTCATTGCACTCTCTTGGATACAGATGAATCATTATTGCATAGGTCAACTATCTTTATAATATAGTGCTGATCTCTGTATTGAAGAAAAAAGAATCAACAAAAAACAGCATTGATGAGGCAGGATGTGAATTTGATTTATATCTTTGTAACATAAAGGCCTCCATGGACAACAGGCAATCTCTCCTGGAGAGCTTCTAAGGCACCTTGACAACTCTGATAGACAGAACTACTGCAATTGGCAGCATAGAAACTTTCAGGGGCTGTAGTAAAATGATCCCATATCCAAAGTCCCTTTATCACAAAGGATCACAATGGGTTATTGTCTTCTAGAAACCCAGTGTAAAAAGAGGTCATTTTTAAGCAAGCTTTTTCCTACAACAGAAGTGACATGCTAACTAGAAGAAAAAAAAAAAAACACCAGTCTGCTTAATATCAGTTTATGAAAAGATTTAAAACAGAAATGAGAGTTAGTTCCTTTTTTCCAAGTTTTCCAAGCATATGTGATGTCTAGATATCATACTGATGAAGTCATTAGAATTGAAGGCAGAAATGTATAAATCGTATCTTCATTTACTGTCAGAGCTGTTCCCTTGGGTTTTGAATAAGAGCTTGCTTATTGTCTCTATCAGTGAAATGTTTACCTGTTGGAGCAGTCATTTCCCACTTGTTTCCCATCTTTCACTGTCTTTAAACAGACACTACCAGACACAGTGTCTGGTTTTGGATGCAGGCAGTGAACGCAATGGAAATGACATACATGATGTAAGGAGCCCTGTTATGATGCTCCAGATGCTCATGCTAAGCACAGCAGAAGCAATAGGTGCAATCCTGGCAAATATGGATGTGGCTATAGAAAATTGTCCTCCTCTAGTCCTTTCCCACAATATCTTGGCTGCATTCTGATATTCTGGGGCATTGTCCTTCAGTCCAGGTGTAACATCTTCTGTGTAGGTAGCACTGAACGAATTAAAGAATCTAATCAGAGTATTTATGCCAAAATATAAATTGTAGCATGAGCTAATTACTGTATAACTATTATTTTTACTGCTATTGTCATCTAGCAACAAAACTTCAAGTACCCATTTCCTAGGATGAAAAATAGGTGAAGGTTTCTGCAAAAGTCTGTCTTACTGCTCTAAAGCTTTTTGTTGGCACTCTGACACAAATTGGATAGCTCTTCATTAAACGAATGGACTGTCTTTTCTGATCAAGCCTGGGATTTACAGGAAGATCCGTTGTCCAACTCCTTCTTTTAATTGAGATCTTTTAATTGCTTACTGCCCTTGCACTCTTATCTCTCTAAGGCAAAGAGACCCAAACTGAGTTGCCTTCAGATAATTTCAATCAGTGGATCTTAGAAAGTACAGCCTGGTTGCTGCTATTTGTATTACTGTTTCTTCTTTCCAGGTCATGCTTAAAGAATTTCTGGCTTTTCATTGAAAATGAAAAATGAAATTCATTTTTGCAGACTGCAGGCAGAGGAATGAGACAAAAGCAGTGTTTTTTGTTTAGATGACAGACCAAATTAGAACTGGAGCAAATGGCATACTAGAAAATGAACTGTCAGATACTGCTGGGAAGAAGTAGGAAGAAAGAGGACACGAGTTCTATTTCCTCTAATATTAATCACAGATAAAACTGAACTGGAATTGTGTTATTTAAGGCAGATTTTACTAACAGCAAAAGTTTGTTTGGAGGCCTGAATTCTGCTAACTTTTCTATCATTTGAAGGTAATAGCATTGTGCCATTAATCTAGGAGAGGACAAACATTTTAGTAGGCAGTTCATCTTTTTGTCTGCTTATTGGGTTTTCTATGACAGGTAGATGTATCTTGCACTACACGTGGAGGGTACTACACTGTGGAGGGTAGCATCCTTCTACTTCTGAAAGGTGTCTGAGGAATAGTTCAATTTTTTATCAAAGAAGCTCGGTCAAGGAAATGACTAAATAGTTAAACCATTTCCTCTTTTTTTTTTTTTTTAATATGTTTTCCAGGCACATCACATATACATTTTCTTCTATGGGTTTTGTAGAAGTCCAAACCAGGACTCTTGTGACTAGAGTTCACAGAATCATAGAATGGCTTGGGGTTGGAAGGGACCTCAAGGATCATCACGTTCCAACCCCTCTGCCACAGGCAAGTTTGCCAGCCACAAGATCAGGTTCTTGATCAGACTGCCAAGAGCTCCATCCAAGCTGGCCGTAAACACCTCCAGGGATGGGACTTCCCTAACCTCTCTGGGCAAGCTGTTCTAGCACCTCACCACTCTTTCAGTATAAAACTTCCCCATCTGAATCTCCACTCCTTTAGTTTTAAAGTCCTACCAGTATCTACCTGTGTAAAAAGTTGGTTTCCTTGCTGTTTATAAACTCCCTTTAAATACTGGAAAGTGCAGTGAGGTCTTCCTGTAGCCTTCTCTTTTCCAGGCTGAACAAGCCCAGTTCCTTCAGCCTACCATCATAGGAGAGATGCTCCAGCTCTTGGACCACCTTCATGGCACTCCTCTGGACCCTCTCCAAAAGCTTCACATCCTTCCTGTGTTGGGGGCTCCAGACTTGAATGCAGAACTCCAACTGGGGCCTCACAAGGACAGAGTAGAGGGGAACGATCACCTTGCCTTGCTGGCCACCCCTCTTCTGATAGAACACAGGTTACCATTGGCCTTCTGAACTGCAAGCACATGCAGCTGGCTCATATTAAGGTTTCCATCAACCAGGCCTCCGTAGTCCTTCACAGCAGGATTACTTTCAAGGATTTCTTCTCCCAGTTTGTTTACATATCTGGGATTATCTCAACACAAGTGCAAAACCTTGCACTTAGCTTTGTTGAACCTTATTAGGTTCACAAGGTCCCACCTTTCAAGTTTATCAAGGTCCCTCTGGATGGCAACCCTTCCTTCTGCTTTATCAATCATACCACTCGGCTTTATGTCATCAGCAGACATGATGATAGCTGTTTAAAAATCACCAGAAGTTATTTGAGGGACAGATAAAAATGGTCAAATACAATAGTTCAGACTTATCTTATTATGTCATTTGCCATTCTGCTTGATTTTATGTTGGAAGAGATCAATGTGGAAGAGATATGCCACCAGCCTCAAGTAATTTTGGGACTGTAATAAGACATGATCAGTTAATATGTTTTACCTAAAATCAGAAATATTCTTGGAAAGACTAGAAGGATCTTAAATCCTCTGAGAAATTTGCTCTCTGTTTTTATGGAAAACAATAGCCATGATTCTTAGGTCAGTTTGTGTCGCCTGTGAATTGGCGTCAACAGGATATGGGCCATTTAAAGGAAGATGTGTTCTGCCTGCAGTAAGCCTTCACTTTTAACTTTGCATTGTGGTTTAGTTTGCTTCAATGAATTGGCTTTGGTTGTAATGGTTGTCTCAGAGCAGTAGAGCCAGGATAGCAAAGCCTGCAGATGACTCTGCTCTGCTCACTCTTGTTTTTCACAATTCGATCTAGCTACCTGATTCAAAAAGCTGGGATGAAAAATATTTTACGCTGTTGACCTTTGTATGTTCCTAATTACCTAGTCAGAAACACTGGAAACAAACTCAATTGCAAGTGGAAAAGGAAATGGAAAAGGGTGTCAACCAGTTTGCACTCAGGAGGTTCCTTTCTCCCACACAAGCAACTTCTTTGTTTCCATCCCCTCCCATCAAGCAGATTTGTGATTACACATCTTTAGGTGGCATGTGACTCATGATGAATCTCAAATCCCTCCTCAGTAGAGGAGGATGTGGGTTAGGGATTCAAAACACAAAAGTAGATCCAACAGCACTTAAGAAACTACAGATGGAGGGAAGAATCGAGAGGCTGGGCAGAATATGGTTATGATAATGAAAAGAGAGTGCAGTTCCCAAATGATGTACAGTTCTAAAATGTTTTCCAATTTTTGGACCTCACAGGATGAGGAGTGCATTTAATTCAAGGAGGAAGCATGTGTGTGTGAACAGATTGCTTTTTGCAGTAGAGGCACTGCAGTTGTGAATTAAGACAAATAGAAGGAAGCTGGAAGCAAATAGCTTACTCAAGGTTAAATCCTAGCAAGAGGAAAACCCACAGTAGGTGCTGAGTGCTCTTTTAAAGCGCCCTGCAGACAGAAAAATGTGTATGTTAATTAATAGGTTTATACTTTTCAGTTGATGAGTGACACTTCCTGCTTAAGATCACAATTGGCTTTTAATTATTTGGAAGACTAGCTTTCCACTGTGGCTTACAACAATTATTTATCTCTTTTTCTCTCAGAAGATATGGAGCAATTTTGCACAAGCAGGAACTTTTTTATGGTGAAATGGCCATTAATTACTGCAGAGTCATTTCCAACCTCACCATTCCACTTTTCTGAGGAATCATAGTTCAGCCACAAACATCTGCTTTATACTAATGCTAATACTATGCTGCAGAATGTCCTGCCTCAATAACTGTTATTTATCTATGCAAAATAAAGTTTAAATTATGTTGATGCATATATATATTAGGTTTGACCACATGCTTTATATTATAGAAGTTAATTCACCACAAAAATCACAGTTTAAAAAAAAAATCTTCCTGCTTGCAGAGAGCTGGACAGGCATATATTTAATCTCCATTAAATGTTTTGGAAAACCAGCTCATTATGAAGTTGTTTTAAAAGATACCTTGAGAATATATATATTGTAAACAGTCATTAAATTGCTCTCCAGCTCTTATCATGACTTGAAAGTTTGAAAGAAACAAAATATTTCTGCTCAGACATGCTAATTATTGGAAACTGTGGCAACAAATTCAGTTCTTTGAAACTTGAGAACAAAAGCATTGCCAGAAAGGGAGAAAGCCTAGGGATGGAAACATGGGGCAGAGAGTCAAATGGGAGCTTTGTTCCTGGTGCTGCCATCAGCATGGTGCTCAGGTTTGGCCACTTCAAGCAGAGATAATGCAAAGATAGTTGAAATCAGTCGGACTCTTTCCTTTAACCTCTGTAGGCTTTGGATCACTTCCAGACATACTACGTTTATTCGTCTTCCAGAATGTGTGTGTGTGCATATGAATGCTTGCAAAGAAACACAGTGGAGCAGTTTCTTAAACATTGCTAAGTATGAGTAAAAAGGCCAGGAGATCCATTGAAACAAAGGCGAGGTATTGGTATACATATATGGTGCCTGTTACTTAGGTGGTACCCTACGTGCACCCTCACTCCTCAGCAAAAACTCACCCAGATGTTACCTACTATACACCTTCCCCTCTTCCTTATCTTTTTCCTTAGTTTTGTTTCTCTGTTCAGTTGCTCAATCTGCATTTTCATCCAGAAAGTGATTTCCCTCCCATCTGCAGTGCTTTCTTCCTACTGCCTTTAGATGGGAAGATTGGATAGATTTTATCTAATCTTTTTCTGTGAGCTCCTTGCACTTCACCAGATATGCCAAAAGAACAAATCTCTTGTTTAGCTTGTGAGCTCCAAGCAGCAAGGCCTGTTGCTCAGTTCCGTCTGGCAGGGTGTCAAACATATTGCTAGTTCTTGACAAACAAAAAAATGCTAAAGCAGTCACTGCTTCCAAGTGGTTCTTTGAGCTTGTTGTCACTAATGTGATGCTCAGCTCACCCATATGTGGTTTCCTAGTGTTACCATTGCATGTTCCAATCCTGCCCTTAAGATCAGTGAATTTCCAGATGCTCCAGATAGACTGTTCACAGTCTAAATTTTGACCAGAAACGTTGCGCTGACATTCTGAGTCTTGATAACTAAGAACTGCAGGGACCAGCCAGGGCATAGATTTGAAACCTGCCAGTTAAACAACAGCCAGTACTGTGGCTTCATCATCCTCTTTGTCAGTCCTGCAAGGATGGCTCCAGGATAACAAAGGCTTCACCAAAGCAGGGGAGCCTGTATGTGAGCTTTGAAGTAGCAGAATTTGTTGCCAGGTTGCTGACTGTGGTTTGTTCTTCTTCTAGAAACTGTACAGAAAAGAAATCAAGCCGCCTTTCAAGCCTGCAGTGGGACGGCCAGAAGATACTTTCCACTTTGATCCGGAGTTCACATCTCGGACCCCCACAGGTTAGCACAGTGGCACACTGTGATGTGAGTGATGGATCTTTTTAGTGATTCATTTCATTCATAATCGCCCTCCCCATTCCACTGAGTCAGAAAGTCTGATTACCAGTAGAGCTCCTAGGTTTTGTGATACCCAACAGCAATGAGTGTTTTGCATTTCTGAGAAAAGACAGGAACATTTCACCAACTTCACATTAATATGTCTGCATTGTTTATAGTGAAACGATGTAATTATTGGCTATTTTATAGCTATTACTGTTGTTTATATTAGCTGAATGTAACTGTTCTAGGCTTCAAAGAACTTTGTATCTCTACAAGCTAGTATTTAATTATGTATTCCATAGATGTTTCTTCAATTATTAAATGAGTTCTACTGCCTAGAATCAGGTTTAGTCAAAGTTTTGCAACCAGTCACTTGCCATTCTAGTAGTCTGCTGTTTCACAGAAAGCTTTAGTCTGGAGGTTGAAACATTTTCTGCAGATTCCTAAGCTCTCCTCTGATGATTCTAAAGGTGCAGTTCCAATACTGACAGTTCATCATTGCAGATACAGTTTCACATTACCTTTTCTGAGGGATTCATCTGTGTTTGAGTCAGTTTTTCTGGTCACTTATTTCTGAAGTCCACAAACGTTTTATTTATGTTGACTCAGCTGTCTACAGAGCCTCATAGGGAGCAGAAGTGATCCAGGCCATAAGTGATTATTTGAACACGAATCAAACCAAGATCATTGCAGTAATCCAACTTAGAGTTCAGCCCACAAATGGTTGCACTGTTGTAAATGGTTGGGCTGTTTTCCACAAGCAGCACAGGCATCTTAGGCTGGCCTTACTGCTGAGAAAATGTATGTAAAATTGCACCTCAGGTATCTAAATCTCCTCTCTGCAAATAAAATAATAATGTTTACTTACCCTAGGTGAAGAATGCTGAAGTAAGTTCCTACAGATTTGTTAGGCCTTTATGAATACTGTAATACTGTAAGATGCTCAGGAAGGACAAAGCATTATAGCTTTCGCAGTTAGGAAGATAGCCATTATAGGAGATTGGTGTTTGCAAGTGTGTCAGACACGTGCAATGATTCAGTATTTATCAAGACTAGAAAAAGGATTTAGGATTCATAACTATCATAGTTAACATAAAACGGAGTTTTGCATTTAACGCAAATGTATTAACATCCAGTCCATACAATGGGCACATTAGTCAGTGGTAGTGAATACTTAACACTGAACACCAAACAATCAGTTGTTCTTATATAGTGTTTCATAAAGAGATTAGGAGTGAATTATGAAAGAACAGTTGTTTTTAACAGAGATGACCAAGCACTTGTGGTTTAGAGCTGAGTCACAACTCTTGTATAGTTCAATAATGTTCAAGATTTGAATTATTCCCATTCCATTTTCAAAATAAATACTATTTTCCTTTATTTAATCTATTTTGGAAAACTACTCTAGTATATACGCCATTGTAGGAAGTACGCAGTGATGCAAGAGGTCTGATGAGATTCATCCATGTATTTTCAAGGACACACAAATATTTTCATTGACACACAAATAAACAAATAGCCCACTTTGTTTTACCAAAGAATAGGCTTTTTCACATAGTTTGGAGTGAGGTTACACTTGCTGTTCTTGTTTCTGACTTCCGCCAAAACTGAGACTTTGTAGATATGCAGAATTAGCTGCAGTCTCAGTTTTGTTTTTCTGAGCAGATCAATTGTTTCTACCATATTACAGCTTCAGAAAGACAGAACCTTGTATAGTGAACCACATGTTACATTTTAGAAATCACAATGATAAGGGGAATAAAGAATATCCACAGTTTGCATTTTACATGCCCAGGAATAGTTTGCATTGCTGGTCTTACTGCTTACGAAAGTGTCCTGGACAAAATATACACTGTACGAGAAAGATCTCTTCAAAGCATTTCAGAATTCTAAGTGAAGCTTCACTTCTCTTCTTGCTTTGGCAGGATGTTTCTCTCATTGAGAGAAAGGTACCAGAGACTGTTCTGTAGTTGTTTCATTCCGAAGGCAGAACATTTCAGGGCTCTTTGAACTCCTCTGGAGTGAGGAACTTAGTTTCAACACCCTCAGCCAGTTTTTGTTCACCTGAGGACAAGTCAGCCAGCCTCTTCCTGGGGTAGATCCCAGCTCCTAAAGCTGCACCCTTTGAGGGAGAAAAGGGAAAGATCCCTTTGAGATTGCAGACCACCACTCTGGGAGCTTTGTGCTTTTACACTCACTTCAGGTTTTTTCTCCTTTGCATTTTCCTCATCCACACATCACATTGCATTACTTTAGCCTTTGTAATTTCTATAGTCAAGGTGTTACACAAAGGACAGATCCTGCATCCTGCAGCTTTTTTCCACTCCCTAGAGAACTGCAGCTAATCCAAAGGGGTGCCCTGCCTTGAGCTATCTGTCGTTCTCCTGCCCTTGTCAAACTGTCCCTTCTCTGCCTATGCATACTCCTGACACAGATGGAGCTTCACATTGGAATGAAAATTAACCATGATTTAACCTCTGTATCCAAGAGGATTGATCTTGCAAATAATATCCCTGCACTGTTCACATCCAGAGTAAGGGGATAGAGAAGGCACATCATTTATTATGGAGGTGAACTAAATAAATACATGTCTACCAGTTCAGCAGAGTATGCAGCTGACTGACAGGGTGACTAAGTCTATTGCAGTTGCTGTACTATTACTTTCTGATCCTGTGTGCCACTCATGAGGTCATTTTCTTCCTTCTACAGATTCCCCAGGTGTTCCTCCAAGTGCCAATGCTCATCATCTTTTCAGAGGGTTTAGCTTTGTTGCCTCTAACTTGGTGCAGGAGCCTGCACAGCAGGATGTGCACAAAATCACCGTTCATCCAATTGTGCAGGTACGGATGCTGATGTTAAACTTTGCACTTGATGGGCAGGTGCATATGTACACATTGTATTTAAACTGCCTCAGCGTTTCAGATTCACCCAACCCTCATCTGTTTCCATGTTTCATATAGGAGATGGAAAATTAGATATATTTTTTTACAAAGGCTTTTATCTTTACGTTTACATTCTCCACTGCTCTACAAAGGAAATAGGGATCACACCTTATCACAGCTCAGATGAAAAGTACTTCTGCATAGCTGAAACATTATTACAGGGCAGGTAACGAAGTGTTTTTTAGTGACTGATGTTATTCTCAACAGTTTTGTCTAGAGTTATGTGATACAGTCAGTATTGGCAGAGAGGCTTAATTAATTATTTCCGTAGGCTCCCACACACATGGAGCCCAAGCTTCTGGATATAGAGAGGCCACAATGTTCCTGCTGTGATTACACAAGAGCCTGGTCATACTCACATAACCCAGACTGGCTTGGCAGTGGAAGGAAAATTGCCGAATTCTTGGTTTCTTGCTGTCATTTCCCTATGACATTCTCTCCAGCAATTTTAATTTCACAATGGAGTAAACCAGAAATGAATTGCTACAAATGGCTCAGCACATCAGAGGAACAGTGAATCGGGAGAGGAAGAGGGCTGCTCAAAGAAACTGCAGATTTTTCCACAAGGAAAATCTTTTCTCTTACCCACAGCAAGAGATACACATGCCTCAAGGGGAAGAGTCCTTGCTTGTGGTATCAGCTTTCATCCCTATTTTAATAATTCATAATTCATTATTAAAAGCCCTTTTCTGCACCACTAAGTGAATTATTATCCAAACAATTACACCCCAAAAATTGTAACTGTTTTCTTCTAAAAATGTATTAACACAATATGTGCATGTCTTACATGGTTACATGTCTGACAAGGTTCTGTTTAGGCTTTTCCAGTGAGGATACATTTTTAGACAGAAGGTCTTAGAGGGTTTTTAGAGGTGCTGGTGATTTCTTCAATCCTGGAATGGCGTTTGCAGCAAGGTTTAAATTTGGGCTTTGGGAGGGCATCATCACCTAATCAATCTGCCCGTCCAAATTATCTGGCCCTTCAGTAATTAGGAATAAGTTTCTGTAGTTGAGAAATGTGGATTTCTCAAGAGACTTCGGCCTGCAGTTCCCTGTGAATTTCTAATAGGAAGTGGTTGTCTGCATTCCATAAATAGTTTACAAAATCACTCTTTTTTTTCCTATTACTTCTAAATGGAAAACTCCCTCTTACAGACTGAGAAAAAGGTAAAAAGGGCTGGGACACACTTGTTTAGATAAACAGCTTCAGATATTTTTTAATTAGACTTAAAACACACTAGCTGTGGAGAAGATGAGATCAAACACTCTGTGAACAACTAGGCTAGTCCCTGCATTTATGTACCCCTGTCCTGATTACCTTTTTTATTTTCTCTTTCTCTACAGCAATTACATGGAAACAATATTCACTTTACAGATGGATATGAGATCAAGGAGGACATAGGAATTGGCTCCTATTCAGTGTGCAAGAGGTGTGTTCATAAAGCAACAGAAACCGAGTTTGCGGTGAAGGTAAGAAAGTCACCTGGCTGATGCCAGACATGTGGTTGAGACTTCTCTGCCAGTCTGTGCAGAAGTGTGATCAGTCTTACAGTGTTGTCTTATTTTTTTTGGTCTTGCTGGTTGTTTTTTACTTTCAAAAGATGACAATTTTCATGATAAGCCTCATTATTTCTCATACTTTAATAAAGTAAAATTACAGGATTAAAAAAAGCTTTACAGTCTTGCATTGAAATCCCACTTACTTCAGCTTTGCTCTTTTCACAATCTAGATACGATTTTTAACAGATGATCAACTATGATCAAATTTACAATTGACTCATCCTAAATAAACAAAATAACAAAATGATTGCAAAATTGAATACTCTATGATTGCAAAATAACATTTTATTCTTCTTAAATTTAGTTTTGATAGTTCTTACTATAACAAGAGAGATTTGTTAGTGAAAAGCACGGTCACTTACAAATCATCAGATTTATTTATCTCTCCTTGATGTTCAGCACCAGCATGCTACACAAAGGCACAAATGACAGGCTTCAGTGGAGATTCAAAATACAGATTTGGTAGAATTCAGTTGAATGTTAAAGACAAATCAGTGAATTTCAAACTTGCTTTAGCAATCCCATATGTCACAGCAGCCAACAGCCAGGAAGCTGCAAGAATGCAAGATAAGAAGAGATCTCTAAGTTCACCAAGTCCAACCGCCAGCCCATCCCCCATGCCCACTAACCGTGTCCCTCAGTGCCACATCTCCACAGTTCCTCAACGCCTCCAGGGACAGTGACTCCACCACCTCCTTGGGCAGCCTGTTCTAATACCTCAACACTATTTCAGAGAACAAATTTTTCCTGAATCTCTCCTGGCACAACTTGAGGCCACCTCTCATCCTATCACTAGTTACCTAGGAAAAAAGACCAATCTCACCAAATAAAGTATTGGTGGTTTATTTTTTGTATTTTAAAGTTTGTAGGAAAACTTAGCTTGTATATCTCTGCAACTAAATAAGAAACTGAGTTTGAAGTGATCCACACTGCAGGTCATAAGATAAACAAGTTACAGGTAGTCAATAGAGTAATAATGAAGTATTTATTTACTCAGTCTTATTTTCTTTTACAAAATGGGTGATCATTCAGTATCCATTGAAGTCCATGAAAGTTTTGGTGTCTCCAAATACTGTCCACAAAACTCTGGGGCCCATTAATAATTCACTATTTGTAGATGTCATTCAAACAACAGCTGTATCATAATTAGGAGCACAGGCCTACAAGCAGGTCTTGGGCACAGGGACATGATAGGATTGTCATTTTTAATGAGTGGAAAAATTACCTGTTAATTTTCAACAGACGACATTGTGCTATAGTAGCTATAGGTCTTGTAGAAATAAATGACATCTGTGGTAAACAAAATGTGAGTTAAATTAATTTTTTTAATATTTTATATATATCAAAAATTGCTAACATCTTTATGAGTGTAATACAGTCAACAAGAAACTGAAATACAAAGACCTTTATCCTCAAAGATGTCTGAGTGCCTGAATCCAAGACGGTCCAGCACTTACTTAGCAGTTATGGGTTTGGAGTGCCTATGAGAATCTAGAGCAAACTCAACACATGGAAAAATCCAATGCCTCAGAAGAGTCTAGCACTTCTATTGCAAGGCTTATGATCCCTTCCATTTCTATTAATTTACTCTTTTTATTCCTTTCTTCCTTCGGTTCTTGCTGCTTTCTTGTTATTATCTTGTTATTACAGGTCTTGATTTTGACCACCAGCTTAGGCAACTTACTTTGCATGTCAGTTTCCAGACTGTCAGAGTGAGTCAAACTGTCAGAGTGACTCAAACATGTAGCACAGACTTTGAGTTGGAGGCGGCTAGTGGGTTTCTGTTTGTACTGTCTTTCCAGCATATTGACTGCTCCCTACTTGATTATTATTCCTGCAAATATATTGGTTTTATTATCCTATTTTTTTTCCTCTATTTGATATCAAGGTTGTATCATTTTGTTATCAAAGTAGCTCACTTTCATAAAGATTGCACAATGCCAATCATTTCAAGTAATTAGATGGTTTGGGAATTGCAACTGACATTATCTTAATTATGTATCAGTCCCTTTTGACATGCATCTTTTAACTCTCTCTATAAAAATCACTGTAATTAGATTCTTTTGATTTCTTTCAGTAAGCATAATTTTCTCAGAAAAAAATATCTGCAGTGATCATTCATAAGATAGGCAGTTTGCCCATTTGTCTGGTAACACGTCATTAAAAGCTCCCTAATAAAGGCTGATTGCTGACATGTCAGAGAGCATCATCCTATCTCCCCAAAGGATACTGAAAATAATGAAGGAGTTAAGGAAATGACGTGATGGCATCACTGTGGAAAGGGGTTTGTAATGTCATCATGTAAATAATCCCTCCATAGAGTCTGCCACTCACCAGGCCTTATTTACTATCACTTTGTAGAGCCATACTGAGACAACAGAGTACTGAGCCAGAGTAACATGAGTCAGAGCTGCTGCCAGAAAATCCACACAGAAAAACAAAACCTTTCCTAACCCAGAAGCAGCATGTATTTGTCAGAAACATTTCATTCCTTTCGCTTGTGCTGGCCATCTGCAACTAATTGGAGACTATCTTATAGAGATAATTAGAGATCTAGCAATGCAGAGATGCTCTTTGTTGACATGATAAAAGCACTCAAACAGATCTGTAATTTAACTCTTTCCAGTGTTCAGTGAAATGAGGCACATCGCTCACTGATGGACTTTTGAAAATCCCTCCAGAACCTGTCTGCATCTTTGGGCTCTGAGATACCTTCATAAGTCCAATCACTGAACTTGCAGAAGAGATTTTTCTTCCAAGCCATTTGTAAGAATGAAATGTTAATAACAAACTCTATGTCTATTCAAGACCTGCCCTAAATAGAGGATCCTAAATATAATGTTTAAGAATTGAGACTTAACACGTCTGTACTACTGAAAGCATTTCAATATTATGCTGCCAGATTTTGTTCACACTAAGCCTAACCTGAAAGTAGTGGAACAGGCCTGGGTCGGTGTAGGTAGATTTAGGCTTAGCAAACCTTGGTGTAATATTCTACTGCAGATACATACTCTGAAGTACTTCCAAAATGTTACACCTAGGCTTTTTTTTGCCATCCTGTTCCCAAAGGAAAGTTGGGAATATAAAGTTAAGAAATACATAAATATTGCTCATTCTTCAGAAAGTTTTATAAAACTCTGTTATACAGAAGAAAACTGGGGAAAAAAAAAGAAAAAAGTGTTTCTCTTATGATGAATCTCTAATGTTTCAGATTCTTCTGCTCGAATATCGATCATCCTCACTACAATAGGATGATGTTTAATAACAAAGGGAACTGTGAGTGTCAGTCAGAATTACAAGCATCAAATGGGTACAAATCAGAAGGCAAAGAAAATCAGATTAACCTATTTCAATTGCATCACTATCTACTATCTAGAGAAAGTAAGTCAATTTATAAGAAGATTGATTCTAGAGCAGATGGGAGGGATTTCTGTGCATGGAAAAAAGGCTGCTATAGAAACCTGTATACATTCTCCAAAAGAGCTCTCTTTTGGAAAACAGGAGATCTGTGAGTTTTGGATGTATTTGATTTTTCGAAACCTGCCAGAGATCTGATGCAATTAGTGTATGTCAAAAGTTTTTTGCTTCACTTAAAATCATTGCACTGATTTCAAATTTGGATCTCTACTTCTATTGAAGCTTTCAAGCTGGATTTTCAAATATGCTTCTTACTGAAGCCAGATGAAGTTTGCAAAAAAACTGATGGCATCTCAGGGTTTCCCTATTTATTTAGATTGACTTCTCCCCTCTCCAGGAGAAGTTACTGGAAGATAATAGCCTAAGTAAAAACTGCTGCTGGTATGGCCTATTCTACCCTTGTTACATTATCTGTACCAAACACTGCAGAGTTGGGTGGGACAAGGGCCAGATTCAACAGCTTGAACGCAACTGCTTTCTTCTCTGTGTCAAAAGTCTATCTACCTGGTTAAATCTTACAGATTTTTAGTTCTCTTATGCTGTTGGAGCCAGGGAAAATGACTGGGTAAAAGGACAGGTTACACTCTTCCTTCTCCCCTGAGGAAACAAAGCATACAGCAGAGATAGTCCCAAATGACAAGTTCAGTTTTGCAGATGACAATACTGCAGTGGAATTTGGATCTTGAACATGTGTGAATTTCATGATTTTTTTTTTTTCCCTATCTCTGTAATGCACTAACAAACTATTTGGTTCCAAATGTTCCCAGCTGTGAGCAAGGCTAGATTTTACTGTCTGTGTCAGCATCTAGGATACACAGGTTAGGTTATGCTGGAGATCTAGTAAATCCTACAGTTCATATATAATTCTGGTAATTACTAAGCATCGAAAGTGCAGTTATCTCAGTATGTTTTGGTATGGGCAGACTGGTGAGAAGGTTCGATTTAAAGAGCTATGAAAATGCACTTCTCCACTGGTAACTGTAGAAGTGATGCCAACATGCTGTCAATAAACAGAGGACACTAACTCCTGAGAGCTGTTTTTAGCAGTCCTGTGTAGTTAGATTTCCTTTATACCTCTACTTATGTGCTAGTAGAAGTGACAATCACCAGATGAATTAATTACAGAGTTGTTTAATGTTTCATGTAAATTTCATTTTCCCCATCCACTGATGTTCATAGTCTTAGTTTGCTTGTTTTTAGGTGGTTGGTGTAGTTGGATGCACTTGCCAGAAGGCAGGAGGTTCCATAATAGTGATTTTCCCATAGCTTTTATTATACCTGTGTCAGGAGGTTAGTGCTAAATGTAGAGAGCATGAATACTGAAAAAAAGTTAAGTTAGAGATATTTCAGTGTCCATGGTTTAAAGAAAATTATAAACAAAGGAGAGAAAATCTGAAAAAACAAGTGGTAAAATATATGCACTAATTGCAAGAGAGTATCCAAGAGAGTTACAAAAGTGTGTAAGATTAAAGACAGGCAGCCTGATGTGATCA